TGTGAGGTCGATGTAGGGTCGATGTGAGGTCGATGTGAGGTCGATGTAGGGTCGATGTCAGGTCGATGTCAGGTCGCTGTCAGGCAGGTTCAGGCAGCCATTTGTTCAGAAACAATAGTCATTTCATGGTATATGATTCCCGCAATTTATGATAATTAACCTCCTTGATTTACCAACACTGCATAATTAGATCGCCCACAATTTACCAACACAAAAAAAACTCGCCCACAATTTTATGTTAATTTATACCACCTACTCGTTTTGACCACCCCTCCCCTATCACTTTTGACTTCATTAGCATACCCACCTACTAAAATAATTTATACCACCTACTCGTTTTGACCACCCCTCCCCTATCACTTTTGACTTCATTAGCATACCCACCTACTAAAATAATTTATACCACCTACTCGTTTTGACCACCCCTCCCCTATCACTTTTGACTTCATTAGCATACCCACCTACCACCTATTTTCGGGGCTCGATAACCGCTTAGGCGAAACAATAGAGAACAAAAGGACTATTGTTCGGGGATTAAGTGAAAGGCACACAAAAATGAATATATAATAGCCCACAAAAATRTTGAATATATTAACCCACAAATATTCATGAGCACACAGATTTTTTCCACAAATCCCACAAAAAACGGGGTCCCAACTATGCAGCTAATACTACTGATATCTGATACCTAATTGGGGTAGTCTATTCGGCGAAGTTCTATGCTAATATATGACGTCACCACAACCCTTTGGGAGCAGTGAGCCAATCAGAGCTCAGCTTAGGAATTAGCAAACGAGGCTTGTATTATCATTCTTCAGTGGATTATTATTTGATGGGGGTGGGGATGTGTGCGAATGCTGGTTTGCAGCCGAATACCGTTGTACCCGGGAGGGTTGGGTCCGGGGTAAAAGTACCGGGGATGCTCGTCGGATCTTTTATACGGGTAAAATTCGTAATTGGGAGGAATTTTTTAGGCTGCTGCCTATTTGGAGTTTCTGTAAGAATTTACATTTTCTGAAATCTCTTAGGGTGTCGGAAATAAAGAGAAAGAGCGCATCGATATTGATTTTCCTCTGCGTTTTTGTCGTTGGAAGTGATTTAATTTAACAATATTTGTTGTGAAATCTCTTAGGGGTTAAAAATCAGATCTATCAAATCAATCACGGTCGAATCACGATGCTTATAAAAATATACTTTTCTATACACGGTATTCAGGACATGGTGTGTGTTCTACGAAGTGGTTTCTCGTTTTAAATATCACTTTAACACTCGATGACAGCAAATGAAGTCCATTATCACTTCTTTATTTATACAGCTCTTTTAGAAAACGTCGAATACTAAATACTAACCATTTATTCCAAGACCGAAATGCACTATTGTTCTTTTTTATCGCCGTTGAAAAGAAGTTTTCTTGGTCTCACTATACCAGCTACTTTTTAACGTGGATTATAATAGCAACAGTGCACTCCGGTCTTGGACTATGCAGTATAAAATCACCCAAAGTTTTCTTACATAGCTGTCTATGAACTGATATTTAAGAGAGCTATTTACAGGAGTTTACAGAGATATTTTTATACAAAGTCTGATCTTTCTTTTATTTGGCTCCTTTGCCAAGCATGACGTCTCTCACAGAATTCTTTGGCTTGGAATAATTTATATAAGTGATGTAAACAAAAGCAAACCAACACACAGCGATGTTCTTGTGCACTAGTATTGACATGAACCTTTTTTTGAATGCATAAAAAATGATGCATTGTGGTCTAGCTTCAGTACAATACCATATTTGGCTGCATGAACAAAAGATGTTTGTACTGAATCTAAACCACAATGCAATGCGTAATACTATTTCAGAAAAGGTCAAAGAGACCTATTTGAAAACCCAAGCTTTATAAAATAACCCTAATGTTGGTAGAATACCAAACGTCACTGAAGAAAATGTTCAGTTTGTTTTGTGAGGAATCTTGCTGTTGTACTGAAGGATGGCCGGATAAAAGTATCTTCTCCATAGATTTTGTATGAACTTTATCCATTGGATAAGGATTCACTTAGTGAAACTGCTATTCACCATTACTACGACAGTCCCAGGAGAAAATATTTTTTCTGTGGGAGATTCAATTCAAGTCAGATGAAAAAATATCCAAGAAAAATAGTGTCTTTACATATATTTAAGCACGCTTTTTAGCTTGGACAAGATTAAAAGATTAAAAATGCTTGTTCATGAATCGCTTTTAAAGAGCCAATCAGAAGCTCTTCTGGAATTGGAATGTAAAAACTGGAACCAATCTCATTGGCCAAGGAACTTTGTGTGACTGAAGCAAGAAGGTTTGACGTAAACACTAACCAATACCATCTAAAAATATCCTAATAATTTCCTATATTAACAGAGATGGAGTTGGCTTCTTCCCAGGCCAAGCCTCCTTTGCATATTTCTTTTTCTTAGGAGCTTCAGATTGCATATTGGGTATAAAAGCAGCAGTCTTAGGATGAAACAACTCAGGAGCCATATGAATGTGTTGCATAGTAGGAGATTCAACCTCTGGTGCTGATGTAATATTCAACTTGGGTAGTGATGCCGTAGGTGAGGTGGGAGAGGTTGGTGAAGTAGGCTGGTCACCACCTGTTCCAGGCAGGTTTGCATAAAGTCCTTGAGAGTATGGGAAACTCTGTAAACGTCTTGTTATGCTGTCCGTCATACTCCCACTTCCAGTTCCTGATACACGGATTTTCTGTTAAAATATGAACGCATGCAGCATGAGTGGCAAATTAACGAACAGGTCCATTTATAAGTTAAAAAAAGATATCATCTCAATAGTTGTAAGGGATTTCTACTTACTTTGTTAGGTACAACCACTGAAGTATGAATCATGTTTCTAAACTTGCCAATACTGGGATCAACATCCTCTGTAAACCAAATTAATAAAAAAAAGCTAAAGCTAGTGCTAAACCAGTTATATTTTGCGTTTGTTATGGACAGATGTAGACCATGGTTTGAATCTAGTATGACTCCATATCTTTACAAACCTGGATTTATAATTTCCTCAGAATCTTTGAATGAAACATTATTGGAAGACTTCCTCTTGCGTGATAATTTAGACATGGTTCCTAGATTGCCAGATGACTCATCCAGTCCAGCTAAAGCTAACCTCTTGTTATGCGCTGTATTAAATTCTGTAAGATCCTAAAATCAAATCACATAGATTTATACCTATAGTCTGTATTTACAGCCTTTTGCACAAATTATGAGACATTTTTATATATATAAATATACCTAACCAAATATCAAAAACACCCAAGAAATTATGGGGTACCGTCGCTGATATTTTGTCTGTAACAACCTGATGCTAGGCAATCATGACAAAATATAATAGAGATATACCATAATTTCTGGGGTGTTTTTGATACAGCCTTTTGCAAAAATTATGAGAATTGTCTAAATATCTAAATATCATAATATCCATATCCATATATTGTCCGGAACACGCGGGTTTGCTAGAATAATTCATTGTTGACATCGAGAAAATGTTCAGAACTACGGATAAGTCTGTCGCCAAAAAAACTAAACAACAAAGACAAGGGACTAAGGGCATCGCACGGGATCATGCACTTGATATTATGATATTTATATATTTCAACAATTCTCATAATTTTTGCAAAAGGCTGTATTTGGTTAGGTATATTTATATATATAAAAATGTCTCATAATTTGTGCAAAAGGCTGTATATATTACAATATAATTATTTTAGTGTATAAATAGCCATCTAGTTCCTTGACTTACATCTAATTCAGTGTCAGATTCTGGTAATCCCAGCAGCCCAGCCTGATTGTTTTCTTCATTTTCATCTCCCATGTCTTTTTCCCCTTTTGATGAACCGGTAGGCTTTTCTCTGAGAGTATAACTACGTGTCGATGCACCAAACCTTATCACACTATCAACCTGGACTTGAGTTGGTTTTTGTTTTTCAATTCTTATTGTTCCTATGAATGTTCCATGAGCTGAAAAAGATTAAAATTAATCAAAATCATACCAAAACCATGTTTTTTGAATGGTAATTTTAATGTTAATTATGTTCAATTGGACTTACTGCTTCCCAAGTCAACCAAGAAACATCTTTTGAGATGCCTGTGGAATACTAGGGCAGCATGGACTCTGGAGCAGGATGTATGTTCCAACGAAAAGTCGCAAGTATCTTTGTTTCTTCCAAACAAGTAGCAGGACTTCTCATCGATTATAAGTTTCTATAAAAGAGAAAGTGTGATTGTTTACATCCAAATATCAGCTTTGTTTGTTTGTATTTATACAAATACATTCTGCTTTAGTATCTAAGCTTAATTTTCGTTCAATTGGTAATGATTGTTTCTTGAAAGACAAGATTTACATGTAGATTTTAATAAACTCTTTTTAGTATACGTATAATATTGTCCAAGTATTCATTTGAGCTAGTAAATCATAAGCTTTAACTAATAAAAATCAAAACACGCGCATTCTTTACCTCCACAAGTTTATCTGTTTTCATAACATCCAAGTGCAATCCTTGAGGGGGTTTACCGGCCCTGAAAATAACCAGCAGAACAATATTTCAGCATCTGATTTGTACAATTTACATACTCACAATGATCTTACCATGAAGGGATCTCGTAAGGCCCTTTCTTCACTGGAGTTGTCTTTTCATTGACGTCCGCCATTTTGTCCCCGTGGCCTGGCGTGCTAAACCGAGGTGAAAGTAGAGGATTGGGGCGAGAAAAACCCCGGATAATAGACATTCACTAAATGGCAAAAAAGGACGAGATTCGGAGGATATAGTAAAAATTAAGCAATCAACTAAACAGAAAAATTTAGGATTTGATTACAAGTAAAGTTAGGACAGGAGCCATTACTAATTATTAGTAATGGTCTCCTGCTTTGGATTAATGATTTTATTTGGAAATAAGGGCAATATAACAAATATCATATTTATATTTTTTTAAATTTAAATGTGCAGGACCTTTGCCTTTTTATTTTGAAGTCTTCTAAAAAAAATTCGTTTGTAGTTGATTGATGGCCTTCCTGTGGTAAATATGTCCCAGACGCCATTGCGGTAGTTTTCGCGCCAACTTGAAGTGCGAGAGAAAACCAACAACTCGCGAAGATGTCTGTGAAAGATTCGCATAGATTGTTCCTTAGAACTTTAATGACTAGACCGTTTTTACCAGAAAGAGAAGTGAAGAGAGTTTATCAACAGTGCTGTGAAGCTTTTGATGGTATGAAATGTTTCGTGAAGAAGATTAATAAGTTAGTGAATTATTTTCATGCTCTAAATTTGTAGATATTTCTAATCTGCAGAGGATTATTCCAGTGACCAGTTCCAACCATTTCTGGCTAAAGTCAACAAAATTATTCAACCATTGTTTCTTGAAGTTAAGGCAGGAGTATCAGAAAACGAAGGCATCAAATATTATGCTTTGGTAGGTCTATAATAATATACTTGGAGAAGGAATTTTGCGAGAGGTTTTGGATCCATATCATACACATTTGTTACAAAGGTTTTGAATATCTGATTGACATTTGTCAGTCATTTACTAACATCCAGTCATTGCTTTTCTGTAGATTAATACGACAGAAGATGAACACTCAAAAATGGCAACAGACTATACCCCAAATGATATTGCATTTTTCAAGAAAGCAGTAAGTGACACAATGTTATAACAGATTTTATGCAACAGCGCAACATCATGGATTACACGCCACAGGGGAACTGTGTAATGACCCTAGAAGGAGACATTGAATCGAGAAAAGAGGTTTTTTTTACAGGTTCTCCAGTTTTCCAGTATCCAGATCTAAGCTCTCTGATCAAATTAATGGGGGATCGGGTAAACTTCAAGTTACGCACTTCCAGTTACACGCTTCTCAAGTTATGCACTCGACCATGCCCAAATTTGCCTCGGTCACGCCCAGCACATAACTCGATGCAACTAACATTATATTAGTAGACAAGACATTTTTTACAAGATTTTTTTATGACTTCATTCATGCACTTGTAGTTTCTTTTTTTGCAAAATTACAAAAGCTTTAGTGCAGATTCTTCAAAATTTTGCCTTGTAGGAATTTTTTTGGCTCTTTGGGACGTGCAGGATTTTTTTTTTCAAAATCTTCAACCATCTCCCCCTCCTCAAAATTCTAATCAATCACCCCTTATAAGCTCCTTTATATGCTTCCCATTTATGACATTGAGCTTTGCTCTACTTCTATCTACTAGTAAGGAAGATGAGCTGTGCAAATTGAATATACATGCTAAAGTCCAATTTATGCTGCTATTATTAAGTCTTGGTTCCAAATAGCAAGTGTAGGAAAGCAGTGATCTTGTTGGATTACCAGTCTGGGACTATAAAAAAATGAGTTCGTGGGTTTGTTTTCTTCCTTTCTCTGGGTACTTCTTTTCTTCCTTTCTCTCAGGTACTTTGGTTTTCCTCCCTCAGTCAAAAACTAGCTATGATGAGTGTGTAATGTCAGTGTTGATGTACTTGTTTGTGTGGTCAGTCTCCCCTATTACCAGGACTCATGTTGTCTGGCTAGATTGTTAGACAAAATTTTCATTTTTTCAGATTGACTTGATTATAAACTCAGATGATGGCAGTGTTTCATCAATGGATTTAATGAATGTAGCTTCTGATCTTGAGAAGAAAATGCTGTGTACTTATGCAGAAAAATTACTTAAAAGATTGGTTGATGATAAATGGCTAACAGAGGTAAGGAAGGTTCAATTTTATGATTTTTTAAACACCTTAAAAGGTGTTGTTGTTTTGTATTTGGTGGTTCTTTTGAGGCTGATGTTATATGAGTTTTGCTATTTGTAACCACATTTTCATATACAGCACACAAAAACTAATGTTATCTATTCAAACATATCTGAATACCATCATTGTTTTCTGTGCTTTCACAAAAATAATAGCCCTAAACACATGCAGTTTTAAAAACATTCAGGACTGTCAGTTATTCACTGACCGATCGAAATATCTGTTTTAACATTTGATTATGATATTTTTTAGTCGTCAGGTATATACTATCTTGGTGGAAGAGCAATGATTGACATAGATCAGTACTTAAAGAGAGAATACAAGGATGATCTCAGCAATTGTATGATGTGTGATTTATCTGCCATACAGGTTTGTTAAAGTGCATATGGTATTGGAAATGAACTGTATAATCAGGAGTTATCGCAGTATAATACAATTCTCACAATTCCTTTGATATTTCCGATTAGCTATGTCAGTTATAGACTATTCATAAATTATGTCTTGTTAGCCTTGTAAGTTGAAGGGCTGTGTCATTAACCTAGTGTGTAATCACATTATCATTGGGGTGAGAATGTTTCCACTTATCACCATTTTCACTTTTTCATTGTTTATGGAGTAAGGTTGGGTGCTACAGGAAAAAAATTGCATCTCAGTGTGGATGACCACTCAGTTCATGTAGCCTGACCTCAAGCCATGTGGCCCTCCCACTCAGTCCACAAGTATAATGATATTGTTATTATAAAAAAATAATGAGTGATCAATAATAATTATAATAATCAGATTATAACTGTCCTATAATGATGATAAATTTCTGTTTATTTGCTTTGTTTAGAGCCAAATGTGTCAACACTGTCAAGAAAAACTACATAAACACTGTGCTGCCAAGTATTTCAATGGAAGGTACAAAACTGCAAAACATTTATTTACTATGATAGATGTTCCTGATTCACCAATTCCTGTGGGCTCACATCTTTTAACAAAACCAAATTGGTTACTGACTTAACTGTGTTTGTTTACTGGAAACTGTGGTATATGATGAGAAATCAGACAAATTTGTAAGGATGAGGATTTATAGTTCATGCAATTGGGTTTTATAAACATATAGTGCCTACTGTATAAACCTGATATTTTATATCCATGACACACTTGCACAAATTAAGCAATACAATGTGCTTTTTGAAATATATAAAAATAATGATAATGAAAATTTAATATCATTAATTTTGGTCAGGGCTCAGAGAACTTGTCCAAATCCTAACTGTGGTGCACAATGGACACATGAAGTTCCAATCATTGCATCAACAAGTAAGTAATTAATATAGTAGCATGAAAGATCATTATGCTGTAAAAGTAGTACAGATACAGCATTTATTTTGTTTTACCAAGGTTACATCTAATGTCACTGATGGAGTTTTCTAGCCCATTGAACAATACTTTTCCTTTGTCCCTTAGTACTGAACTTCTATTGTTAGGTTAGGTTTTGTTTGGGAGAGAATCTGTTGTCTATTGTTTTATAAACCAATCATGAGTCTAGAGTTCCAATCAGTTCTTGATGACCCCACCAGAGTTGGACATCCGTCAGGGTTGGCACCAATTCCAATAGCATCATATTTATGAGTTCAATTTTGCAGGTACTGACAGATCTAGTTCTTCATCAAGGCAAGCAGGACCATCAACAAGCCAAGCTGGACCTTCAAGAAGTAGATCAAGGCGATCCAGATAATGTTTTGCACTAAGTGGTAGGACAAGACTATTGAAATATGCTGTACTAAATCAATACACAAAATATAAGGATGTTGCTGTTTTTTGAAATTTTATGGAAGAATTTATTAAAAAAGTAAAACAAGTAGAAAAACATTTATTAAAAACATTTTAAAAGATATTAATTTGTATTATTTGCACAAAGGTTCTTTCACTTCGAATTCTTGAAAACCACATGAGAAAATGCATTTCAAATTGGAAAAAATACTTCCTTTATTATTTTGTTGCATTTTATAATGTAAAGTGTCCTCTGCATAGGTCATTGAATAACAAACAAAATTATCATTATTAAATATACTGTATATGCACATTGTAAACAGTTATTTGCTAGTTGTATCATTTTGTCTTGGTCAACATGAATACAAATTGTTCAGGTTTGGTGCTACTTTATTTGTTGGAATAATTTTGATCAACTTTGACTGATCTAAAAGTACACTTTAACATCGAGTGCAGATAAAGTGGTTCAAACTTTGTTGTAACTTGCATTATTATTTACATCTAGTAGCATGTTTATTTACATAAGTAATAAATAAAATGTGATCTTTTTATTGCTTGCATTTGCAAACCTGCAAGTAAACATGCTTGCCTTGCATCTCAAACACATTTGAAAGCCATATTTGTTGCAGAGTAAAATATTATTTTTGTTTATTATTTTTTTAATGAGATCCTTTGCATGTCAGTTTAGAATGTCAATTTCAGGAGAACGTTATGTGGAGTTAGGTCAGACTTGAACCCAGTCATTAATTACTCTTTGCTACGCTCAGAGTGGCTGATCATGCCTAAAAAGAAAGAGATTAAGTGACTGGGTACTAGTCTGGAGTTAGGTCAAACTATGACCACACCCATTCCCTCTAGAGGACCTGGTAAAGAGTGATATGTCTCCCATTTATTGCTCAATGGGTCATAACATTCAATTGAGTTCAGTTCGACATTCATGAATGCTCCACCCATTGCCAGTAACTTGTCATCAATGACAACCACTGCTGGGCTTTCTCTACGGTTCAGTAGAGATGGCAATGCTAACCATCTATTCATTCTAGGGTCGTAACACTCAACAGAGTTGTGATCCTCATCATTGTCACTTCCACCTACAACCATGATTTTCTTTTTGAGTACTGCTGCACCAAAGTAACGACGTCTATACCCCATTGGTATACATGCACTCCATTGACCTATTCTTGGGTCATATCTCTCCATGGAGTTGACAATCGTCAGGCCGCTATCCCCACCCATTGCATATAGTGCACCATCTATTGTTACCATTGACAGTCCTTCTCGCATGCTGCTCATTGCTGTCACTGAGCTCCACATATCCCTAAGGAAATAATTGATTATTTTAATGGCCTGTTTCTGGGGATGATTTCTGGTCAATCTAATCAACTCACTGAATTATTGTAGGAATTTAATTCAAAGGCAGCGAAATCCTGTCTATTTGACCTTTGGGATGGCTACTTTTGTCAAATGGTTTTGATGCTTGTGGCCACTTATGGGTTACTTTTTCAGACAGCCAGCTACTTCCAAATTTAATGAAACCCCCATTGTGGCCATGTTTTGTGACCACCCCTCCCTCTCTACCAATTCCTACAATAACCATGTGGACCTCAATGCAATGGCTTTTAATATTCAGATACCTGACAGGATCATAGCGTTCAACACTGCTGTATTCAGAACCTGAAAAGTCACTTCCTCCTGCTGCATAGAGCCAGCCATCCAGCTCAACCAAGCTAAATGCATGACGTCCACATGCCATTGGCTGAACAAATGTCCACTTGTTTGCCACAGGATCAAAACATTCAACAGAACTCAGGGCTACATCACCATCGCACCCTACATAATAATTAGTACATATAAGCAAGTGATTGAAGATCAGCAATATTCTTGTGTGACCCCTATATTTGTTGACCACCATAATTCATCATTTCATGCTATCTCTGCAGGCCTGTAACCAAGGTGGGTGCACGTGCACCCCCCAGAGAAGCTGAAGGTCTGCTCATCTACCGTCATGTTTTTCAAAGCGAACTGGATTCGAACTGTTAAAATGCATGGTATTTAATACTGCATTATACAAATTACCTCCTGCTGCGTAAATGACCCCTGCATGACAAGCCACGCCCACACCATCACGACGTTGGTGCATGGATGAAAGACTTTCCCATTTTTCAGTTTCAAAGTTAAATCTCTTTACTGTATTGAACACTTGGTTATTAATTTCCCCACCAATAACATACATCATGGCTCCATGATCCATTTGACGGGGCACTGATAAGACCTGCATTTTGTCACGTCGTTCTGGGAGAAGGTGGAAGTTCTTAKCTTCACTGATTATACGCATACAAGTGTCATTTTCTTGGATCAGATCATCACTCTCAATGCAGTCCACTGCAAAAAATATTTATTTATTATACTTTTGCAAATTATATCATTATTAAGTATGTTAGGTATTAACACAAGTGCTGATTAAAAGCTAAGAATTCTACTGAAAAACATTTGTGGAAAGGGGTCAGCAATTCTAAAGCTGGGATGACCTTTTTTTTCTCCCTCTATATTTGCCATTCTAACACAAATTTTATCTTTTATATTTTGATCAAATTTTCTTTTAAATAGGTGATTTTCATGATGGCACCAAATTACTGCCAATACCAAGGAAGCTTTGAACACTTTGTATTGTTGTGTTATTAGTTTCCACAAAATGCTGCCCTTTGGTATTTTCTTTGTTATTTAGGTTTTTAATCCCTCTGGAGATCAGCAAAACAATTGGTCCTAATTTCATTACAAAAGAAAGTGGGCAAAGCATTCTGGTCTTGGTGGTATGTGGCGCCATCATGCAAATTGGCCATTATATAACTCCTTGCATTTTTCATATAATTTTTCACTACCCAAACTAAAACAAAACAAACACAATCTTGTAGTTCCCCACTATTGATTTTTCAATTCTTTTCCTAAATTATAAAAAACATAGTATTATTTTAATATTTGAGCTCATATCTTAGACTGATTTTGTCTGTACATACATGCACAGTTCATTCTGCTCTATCGACCCTATTTGGTGGACTCAGGATTGGTGGGAAAGAAAAAATGCTTGAATAATACAAGAGAGCAAACTGGGGGCTTACTGATAAAGTCAGTCTAATTCATATTCATACAGACTAAAGCTTAACAATTTGAATGCCATCAATAATTAAGTCACTTGAAGCAAATCCCCGCTTTTCAATTTAAAAAGAATTTCGTATCTGGAGATATAAGCATTTTTAATTATTTACTAATTTCAGGCAAATGTGGGAAACCTTTTAATCTATTTTACGGCTGATATAAAACTATTTTTATTAAATTTTTTATTAATATTTTGTTTTTATCTTTTTTAAAGATCTTTTCAAGATTGATAAAAATCATCCCTGAGGTTACGAGGAAAGTGTCTACTGGCGGCAATGCGCACCTGAGCAGCAAAATCAGAATATTGTTTGTGTATTTGACTAAAGGTGCAATATAAATAATGGTTTAAACGTTTTAACTATTTTTCACATTTTTGAAAACTTACCAAGGATTTTTGGTGGTAATAGAGGCAATCTGATATACTTTAAAAGTTCAGATAAATGTCTTTTTCTTGTGCCCAAACTATGCCTCGTCCACAAAAGCACTGAATCAAAAACGTCTTTTTCGCTAACAACATTCAACGTATCACTTTTCAGCATGGCGGAAATTTGATCGTATGTTGCAAGAAGGAATTCATCAGTTTTTGTCACTTCAAGAAAACGTTTTTCCGCATAGTTTAAAGCAGCTAATTTCAGCTCTGTGCAGTCGTGGTGATCAGCAAAGTTTCCAATTCCCAAACAATTTGATGGATGGAGTTGGTTTTTAAGAAAGCCGCAACAAGTTTCAATGATAGTTGTGAATTGCAACAAGTTCGCCACGGAGAATAAATTTTGAACATTTTCTTCAGTTATTTCAATGGTTGAAGTGTAGCAAAACTCTACCAACTGTTTGACGGCTTGTGAGTCTACCTCCTTCAACGTAATTCGACTTTGGTTTGTCTCACTCATTCCATTTGTGAACATTGAAAAAAAGTACGAACTATTCGCTGCTAAAATGAGACGGTGCGAAAAAATCTCTTCCTTGTCCACCACGATAACCACATCACACATTTTCTTTCTTTGGTATAAACTTCTTAGAGTTGCCAACACGTGGCATGAGTGGAAGGAGTCTTTGTAAACGAGAACCTGCGATTTTCCACCTTCGTCCGCCATTCTTTTTCAAGTGTTGTTCAGTTCATTCAAAAATCAACGTGGTCTGTCCAATTTATATACATTCAGAAATTCTATTGGGTGACTTAGATATAATAAAGAAGAATAGCCAATCAATAATGAGCTTCTAAAATGTTTTATCTGAAATATGCTACACCTGTTCCAACTTGACGTGAAGACCCCAAACCGTGTCACGTCATACTTTTCAAGAATATCAACACTTTTTATTTACCGGCTTTGTTTGTGGGAACCGCAAAATAAACCTCAGAATTGTAAACTGCAAATTTACACCCATTGGGTGTCGTGGACAACGCCATTGAGAGAATTTGTCAAAAAATTAGGATGTGAGGGGTTTTCCTTTCACTTGCTTCCGCGCTGCATGACTGAACTCAACATAAACAAATTGTCTGTCAGGCGATGTTTCTCGTGTCCATGCAAATATTGAGTTGTACATAAAACCTCGAAGTTTCAACTTTCATAGTCTAGTTGTTTTTCTAGAAAACATTAATTTGATTAATTTAATATAAATACTGCTCAATGAGATATCATCAAAAAGTGCGTGTTCATGAAATATGCAGAATGAAATGATTTACGACCCATTTTCAAATGACAAATCGATATCATTCAATCATATCCTTTTTTTATTGCTTTTCTTGAAATGTTCAGAACATGCAGTTTTGATTTATTTTTGTTCTAATGCAAAAGCAACTGGAAAGCTTCTAAGACTATTCTGGTGGGGAAAACCAATTCTTTGTCGGGACCACTTGAATGTTTAGTACTGTGGCCCTTCCTTGGATAACAAATTCTAGCATCGTTTCAATAAATTTAGTATGATTACCTTTACTACTATAAAAATTGACAGTAATGCATTCTATATATCTATTTTTATTTTTTTATTTATTATATATTTTATACCAGTGTGAACATTTCCAAAAGAGAAAATTGACCCAAGCGCAAGGTCCAGATGGAACCTTGAATCCGTACTTTGAACCAGGTACATGTACTTTCTGCTCGTGTGTTGGCATGGCTGATCGGGAACCAAGTGTAAACAATCAATATGCAATAGTGCTTCCTGATACGAACAAGAGTTACCAAACATAGGTTTTTTCCAAAGATTATATAAGGCACTGACAGGAAAGGGACTGCTATACTAAGACAGAAATCATGCTCAGGAAAAGTAAAAATCCACTCATGCTTAAATGACCTGAAGAGCCTATCCTAAATATACCCTGGTTCCAGAGGTTTAAATTTTCTTATTTTTTCTAGATGTTTTTCTTTGCATTCTTAATAATTTTGCTTTTGCTTTCTAGAAAAAAAAAACTTCTGCAATTATTTATTTGATTCTTACATATTGTTGTTTACATGTAAATTATATATGGCAAGAAAGGGGGTTAGGGGGATAGAAGAAAATAACAGGGAAAATAATCACCCTATTTAGCAGGCAGGTCTTATTTGCCTTGCTCTATAGAGTTTAAAGAACCTAAGCAGCCTAAAATCCTGTTAACAGGAATGTATAATTTATAAGAATAAAACATGGACACTTTTGTGAATAAGTATTTTATTGAAAAGATAGTGGACATTTTTACAAAAATAGTGATTGCTTAATGGGATGATGATCTTTATAACAAAATGCTTCTAATTTTACCCTTAACAGTAGCRTTATAAGCATAGAGAGCAAACTAAATGAAATACAAATCAATCTAGAAAATGAAACTATGAAATAAAACTACAATTTTGGCAAATCTGTACACTCAGTTGGACTGCTTGAAACACAAATTTCAACCCTTTTTTGCTAAAGCGAAATTTATGTTTCACAATAAACTTACTACAATTTGTTCCTTTTTCGTCAAAAAATCAAAAAGCAGGACTTACAACTTTGACTTTCCTGAACCCAAGAAACACAAAATGAAAGAATGACAATCAACATAAATCCTTTCATGTTGATTGCTTTTAGAGTGAAGTCATTAAACCTATGAAACAAAATCTGACTATTGAAGTTTTTTGTCAACTTCGCAATAGTGTATGCATTCTTCAAAAAAGAAAATATTATATACCTGTAGCATGCTATTCAATTCTATGTACCCATAAAACCTTAACCTGTACTTTAGCTATTTACACGAGTTGGTATTTCATGTTGGGTTAAGCAAAGATAAACTATTAATAAAATTTATTGCTCTAATCAATCTCTTGGGAATCATAAGACACACAACTGGCAGCCATGTTGGTAGTTAATAAAAGAAACTACAAATTCATTATTTAAATTACTACTGACATGGCTGCCAAATTGTCAACTGAAAACAGACAGTTCTATTTACAACTTGGCAAATATGTCAGAAAAACAAAAAGATTTATAGCTGGGTTCTATGAAGCAAAGGATCCTGACGGAAAATTAGTGCAGACAACATGCTGAAAAATATTTAGTTAAAGGATTAGTCCATTCATTGCACTTTAAACAACAAAAAATATAATAGCTGTCACAACAACTTAAATTAGAACTCTGATGTTAGCAAAGCTATTTCATGGATACCCTGAATGCAAATATGTTATCATCATCACCAACAAAATAAAAAACAGACAAAATCAAGAACTCAACTAAAAAGATTTGTAATTAAAATATGTGCCTTTTCAAGTTCCGTTCATTACTTACAGTACATTTGACAAGCTGAAGCTTATGTTTCATCTCAAAATGATTACTGCTGATAAACTTTTGAATGGCATATGAGCTAATTTACCCTCCCTGATTACTAGCAAAACAAAAATTAAGCCATTCAAAAAACCTTATAGACATACTACTTCCGGGACCTATACACTCCAGATAATCATTGTAGAGCTATACATTAAAGAATAAATTACTTCAAATGTGAAAATGGTTACTATTAGCAGTGTGATAAGTAGCTGACAATCATTTAAAATTAGTCATCACTTTATATTAGACATTGTTTAGCCTAAGTCTAGCAGAAAAGCTTTAGTTTCATCAGGTAGAGAGCTTTACTTTACCTAATAAAACCATAGCTAGAGCCAACACACTTAATCAGTGAAACCAAATAGAACTTAAATATGCTAATTCCTTTGTTTTCTATTGTCTAATCAACACAATTTCTTAGCATTAGTGTGTTTGTTTCATGGATAAGTGCATCCACTCTAAATAATCCAGCAGCCAGTTGAACAAAGGTTGTACAAAGTTATCCAAATGATAAAGTTATCCACTCCTTAGATTGTGTATACATTTTATTTGCTAGATAAGGATTTAACTGGTGGATATTGTTATTCACCCTTCATACAAGTGGCCCCAGGATAGTAACTAGGAAAGATCAGGCATACTACAGTACTGGCCTGGCTAACACCACATACAATTCAACTCCACTGGGATTCCTGTGTTAAAAAAACAACTCCTCTCTCTGTACTATGTATTCTCATTAATATCAACACAGGAAGTCCTACACATGTTAAGTCTAAATGTTTGTTGGTTAGGAAGGAGATGCCATACTACGAAGACGTCAAGAAATATTCACTGATAAAATAACTTCTGCATTTACACAGGTTAGACCTACGTGCAATTATTATATTGTTATTGCCTTCAGTTACGATAACATAAAGCATGTCTAGATTTATAGAGTGCTTTCAGTCTCAATCTTGAATGTTTCAATACTATATTTTGTAAATACAGTTTATAATTTAGGCAACTGCTTGCCCAACCAATTACAATGTAACCCAGGGTGAGTGAGCCACATGTATGGATGCCAATGCCTATAAAGAGCCAATTATTCCCTTTGTGGTAAGTTAATGAATGAATGAATGAATAGAAAGGTGAATGAATTTGCGTCAACAAAGCAAAATACAGACTTCTAAGGCATACTAACAATCAAAAATACTTGCAAGTAGTTTGAATATTGGCCAGAATCTCAAGATGTTACCCTGAATAGAAAAATAACTTATCTATTAACATATGCCTGTGTTGAGTATGATATCCATTCAACAGTGAAACTAAAAGCACTCTAAACATAAATCATTGTAAATACTTTAGATACATACAATATCACTGTATAGTGGTTTTCATAGCCTGTGGTCTGCTAAGTATTTGACTTTACAAAACCAGTGAACAGGTCTTAGACAATAAAACTTTTGGAATTCCTTATGTAACTGGTACAGCTTTCAATAACTAGCAAATCTTTTCCACTTCTTTAAGTGCAAAATATTCTGTCATTTTTCTTTTTATCCACTCAAACAAATGTATTTAGCTCTCGCATTTGGTATGAAAACCATTCATAACCACTAATTTTAATGAATTTAGAAAAAAATAAGAAGCAAAAATTATTTTCTTTGCTGTAAAAACAATTGAGTCATAAAACTTAACCTGTGAAATAGCTTTAAGATTTATTTTTGTTTTCATCAAAATATTACTAAATTATTTTAACTTCATGAAGTGTGTTTCACAGGAAAAGTTTGACAACTTGTTACTTACTGGTAAAATGGGGAAAAGTAAAAAATCTATACAATAAAATAATACAATAATTTCTTAATTGGAAGGAATATTGAGGTGGTGCATTGAATTGATTGACAAGTGCAGGGTTGATGGTGTGTCAGGCACACTGTCAGGTTTAGGGAATCCTGAATCTCTTCATCAGTCCTCCCAGATCTGTAATATCATTCAAATTTTATTAGAAAACATTAGAAAATGAAAGTCAAAAACAAAAAAAGATAGAGTAAGTCTTGAACAATGAACAACTGCATTTCACATGCATTAAGAAACCCAACTATGTTTTAGTTGATTTTAGAGTTTAAAAAATCTTATGTGTACTCTACCTTGATAATGGCTGCTTAAATATAAATATCTTGATAAAATATCAAGTAAATGTAGAGGATTCTTTATTTTTTAGTACTTAGTATTTGAATCTTTTCTTTTTCTACTGACATACCTTGGTAATAGTATGGTTTTTCATGGTGCCACATCTCTATAACTTGGCTCAGTAGCAACAAGATAATCCTCCAATACTGACTGCAAATATTCAAATGTAGGTCGATCAAGTTCATTTTTATTCCAACATGACATCATGATTTCATAAAGAGCATCAGTTGCGTTAGGGGGCTTGGGCATTCTGTAGCCTCTTTCAACCTGGGCTAGTACTTCAGCATTAGTCATGCCAGGATACGGTATTCGACCATAAGTGACTAACTCGGTTAGAAGTATACCAAATGACCAGACATCTGATTTGATTGTAAATCGGTTATATAAGGCAGCTTCAGGGGCAGTCCACTTGATTGGGAACTTAGCACCTTGGTGAGGGTTGTATTCATCGTCTTCTATGAGCCTTGCCAGTCCAAAGTCTGCTACTTTACAGACATTGTTGTCTCCGACCAGGATATTACGAGCAGCAAGATCTCTGTGGATATAATTCATCTTTTCCAGGTATGCCATACCAGCTGCTATCTGAGCTGCCATGTCAATAAGCTGTGCAAGCTTGAGATGTTGACCTTCACCTTTTACCAGGTGATCTAATAAACTTCCATGTTTCATCAGTTCTGTTACAATGTATATTGGCTCTTCATTGGTACACACAGCATATAACTATAAAAGAAATAATTTTGGGGAGACACATCAATGACAATTTTATTTTTACGATTACTAACTGTAGAAGGAGTAATTGTAAACAATACTCTACGTTATCTGCCTATTCTCAAATTACAGTGTAGCTTTAATCTGTTTTTCTGTCTATAAAAATTCTGACACACGCCGAATCATCCACATGAATGTGTCATAAGCAATACAACTTACTTGAATCAAGTTAGCATGCCTAAGCTTTTTCATGATTTGTGCTTCAGTAAGGAAAGCCTGAGGTGACATGGTCCCAACTCTCAGTGTCTTGATAGCAACTGGTGTAGTATTGTTCCATACTCCCTTCCATACCTCACCAAACTGACCCTGGCCAAGTTTTGTATCCAATCTCAAAGATTCCCTTGGAATTTCCCATGCATCTTTAGTATTATGGGAAAGCCCTGAAGTGACAGGTTTCTCTCCAGGGCAAGGCTGTGTGAGCATACAGCACAAGCCATCAGCATCTTCACTGTAATGCTGAACTAACTCATTCAATGTTCTAAATGGTGCACGTGTTGTTATGTAGAAACCTCCAGAATCCAATTTACGTATTCGATAATGCTTGACATTATCACCATCTCTGACTGAGAGTGAGTAATTCCCTGGCTGTGTCTCGGAGTCACGGATCAAGAAAGTCCCTTTAGGATTGCCTGGTGCAAGAAGCCATTTTTCTGCATCGGCACGCTTTATTTTTCCAAAAAACCATCTGAAAAGAAAACAGAGTCTCATTGGGTCAACATTGAAAACTTTGTGCCCTGCTATAAACTTCATTTTCTCTTTTGCAAAGTAAACAAACAGAAGTTGTTGAGTATAATATCAAAACTTAGTTATCTGATCAAAGGTTGTAACACTACACAATTTTCACTGAACTGTATAAATTTACTTTTGTACATGTAAGCCCATAAAAACAACAAAATTAAACTATCAAGGTCACAAGAATTATCAATGACCTTACAGTACGTTTTCTTGCTATTACAGATCAATGATTTTAAAAGCTAATTTCTGCCCGGAAGTAAAACATAATGGATTGATTCATAAATGATTCAAAGAATACCTGAGAATTATTTTGCCTACGAAGTTCAAAACACCGTGATAAGAAAATGAAAACAAACAACAGTACAAGAGATATTTTATATGTTTTTGAACAATAGTCAGCAGAATCATAGGATTTTAATTATGAGACTTTGATATAAAGTTTGGCAACAAAGTAGGTCAAGATCATTGGCACATGCATGATAAAGCAATCTTGATCTCTTAATATATTTGCTTGAAAGCGAAATAACTTTCAGCTTCTGTGATCATAAACGGATTGTTTCTTGCATTTTATGAAAGCTTTTCTTAGAATGTCGTACTAAAACAAATATTAGGACGTTTCATTTTTCAATTAAAAAGTTTTCGTGTCCTCACACCAATTCGTCGAACTTATTGAAACCCAATTACGGAGAAAGGAATGCCGAAGTTGTAATTTCTAGAGAGTCAAAAGCGGAAATCAAAACTTTGACGACAAAAGATGCCTTCATCGGTTTACTTACTCTTGGGATTTAATGCTTTGTTCTTGGGCAACATAATTGCTGGGAATATAACCTTCTCTCTGTGAGGACAATGACTTAGCAAGCCACCAGTCTCCATCCGTGTTATCTAGAACTTGCAGTCTCTCGCCTTTTTTAAAACTCAAATCTTCGTTTGTTCTTGCATCGTAGTCGTAAAGAGCAACAAAAATAAGTGCTGTTTTCCCCTGTTGCATTATTCCCGGATAACCTGGTTGCATTATTCCAGAACTTGATTGAAAGTGCATGCCGTTCGCTGGAGAACCAACTTTTTGAGAGCCATGGTCGTTGGTTCCAAAGCCAGCAGCGCCTACGTCGGTACCACTTGGCTTTGGTTGTTCGGCTTCATATTTAGACTGTGTTTTCCCACAGCAGCCACCCATGGCTGCTTCGATATCAAGGGCCTACTCTAGAAGACCTTCTGTACGTTTTGTTTGTGGTTTGAGGAGACCCTAACACTCGTAAAATCTAAAACATCGGCATTGAGACTTTTGAAGGGAGGAGGAAGCGAGTTACGGGAGGGACTGGACTCAATCTTCTCTCTGCAAAAACTAGTCGTGGAGATTGGACCGATTCAAATCAGAGATACGTACAACTATCTAAGAACAACAGATATCATTGGATAGCTTCAAATAATTGAAATTCCTTTTCCAGACTACATTAGATTTTTCTAAGTGATTCAACCAATCAGAAGTAGTTTTGTTATTAGGTGAAGCATGATGAGTCAGTCAGCGCCATCCCGGAAGGTGTAGTGGTCCAAAGAAGGGAAAGTCAAACAAGAAGATTCTGATGATACGAAAGAAGACCTTTCACATTATAGAACACCAAACTCAACTTGTATATTGACATTGATTATTGCATCATTGTATTGCAATACTCATGGGGAAGTGTTTGTCTAAAAAGAACAACGCAGCAAAGAAAGAAGACAACGGAAATGATACCAAGCCAGTGGACGAGAACGATGTGAAGATTGAAGAATCTGAGCCCAAGAGGTACACTCCAAACCCTCAGCCGGTTTGTCCCGTGGCGCCTGAATCTCCTATTCCACCTCCATCTAAAACAGCTCACTATTTGGCACTTTATGACTATGACAAGAGGACCGAGGAGGATTTATCATTCAAGAAAGGCGAAATTCTTGAGGTCAACACAGAAGATTTGGAAGCTGACTGGTGGAGAGCAAAATCAAAAGAAACGGGAGCTGAGGGTTTTATTCCAAGCAATTATGTGGCCCCATTAGAAGCATTGGAGGCTGAAGCGTAAGTTCACTGCGTAATTTTCCCAAACTTACTGAAGAAAACTTGTAAAAATTCATGTCCGAACACATGATTGGACAACATTTGGAGCTGCCTTCCAAAAAAGAAAAACATTTTACAATCGTAACTTTCTTTCACAATAATATTTAATATATATGGTTTTGCCATGAAAACGGTAAGAGGTCATTTTTTTGTCGTTTGCCCGTGTACAGTAGACGATTTCATCGCATTCCGTACATGACATCTCTTATACCCGGAAATAATTTGTGATTGCCCAACTCTAGCGTTCCAGCGTTCACATTTCGCTTTGACTTGCAATCAAGATCAGCAATAATTTATGCTATCGCTTACAGCTACAGGAGTCATTGCTAAAAACAAGTTATTTAATTCGAAATGCAACGTTGACACATTAACTTTGACAGTACAAATCTTTGGATAGGATACAAGGTTGTGCCTAGTGATGTGTAACTGATACTTAATATTTTTTATCTTAGTTTTTTATATTTAGAAATTCCTGAAAAATGATTCTTCAAGTTTTTTTCAAGCAATCAAAAGCATTCAGCTATTTAGAATTTTTTACTCGAAGATTGCAATAAATTGTAAATTTTTTGATCAAAAAAAATTTCTATAAACTTTTCTTGTGAACCTGAAACAAGCAAGTTTGAGTAGAATTTTTGATATCTTGTATGCATCATCTTTGAAAAACACCTTTTATGGTTAAATTTGTTGATATTTTATTTGGTTTCTTGCTGTGTTTTATTTTAATTTTGTTCAAATGTTTGCCAAAATTATTATAATATTAAAAAAACTGCTATGAGAATTTGAAAAGGACTTTACCAGAAATCATAATGTCTACCATGTAAAAAATAATGTTCATTCAGACAGTGAAATTAGAAATGAAAATGTGTTGGGAGTGGAAGTTCCCTTAGGAGAAGGCCTGCTGGGTGCACTTAATTTCCTTTTGTTTCTAAAGTTAGAATTCATTTCAATCTTCTAACAAGAATAAAAGCATTAATGTTATCATATGACTGACAGAATAATAAGACTTAATTTGAAGGGTATTTGAAAAGCCTAGTCAGTTTATTATAGGAATTACAAGGGGTTAATGAATAAATGTGCCACAAGTTCTAATCAGACTATAATTAGTTGTTATAGAAATGTCTTGTGCAGTGTTAATCTTAAGTCAATATTTTTGATAAATTGGTCTATTTGCAGATGGTACTTTGGTCAAATAAAGAGACCAGAGGCTGAAAAGGCTCTCCAGTCCCCACCAAATGAGGATGGCGCCTTTTTGATCAGAGACAGCAGTAAAGGGCTTTTTGCCTTGTCAATGAGAGATGGAGATCAGATCAAGCACTATCGTATTCGCAAGAGTGATGAAGGAGGTTTCTTTATTGCACGTGCCAATGTATTTAATTCTCTGAAAGAGTTGGTTACCCATTATGGAGAAAAGTCTGATGGTCTTTGTGGATTGTTGAGAAAACCTTGTGAAAGGGTAAGTTAAAAGTAGGTGATACAACTAACTGACATTTCAGACATTAATCCTTTGTCTTTTTAAACAACTATTTCTTTAGAAACAGTGACACTGCAACTAGTTTACCATTAGTTTCCGCCATTAAGTTAATGTTAGTTACTACTACAAAATTTATTTTGTGTTCAGTACATTTCATGTTCTGAATTATTCCTTAATGCAGCTTGTTTGTTTGTTTTTAGACTGAGAAGCCACAAACTGTTGGTCTGTCCTACAATACAGCTGACCAATGGGAAGTGGCCAGAGAGTCATTGCAGTTGATGCAAAGGCTTGGTGCTGGTAACTTCGGTGAAGTATGGAAAGGATTATGGAATGGAACTACACCTGTAGCAATAAAAACACTTAAAGAAGGAACAATGAAACCTGAAGCTTTCTTGGCAGAAGCAGAACTAATGAAAAAGCTCATCCACCCCAAACTTGTTCAGCTTTATGCTGTTTGCTCTCGTGATGAACCCATCTACATTGTCACTGAGCTCATGACAAAGGGGAGTCTATTGGATCATTTAAGAAGCGAAGAAGGTCGACTGCTACCGATACCAACCCTTGTTGACATGGGAGCACAAATAGCTGAGGGAATGGCTTTCTTGGAGAAGTTTGGCTTTGTGCACAGAGATCTTGCTGCAAGGAATATTCTTGTTGGAGATAATAATATTGTTAAAGTAGCAGACTTTGGTCTTTCACGGTTGATTGATGAAGATATCTATTGTGCACAAGAGGGAGCAAGGTTCCCAATCAAGTGGACTGCTCCTGAAGCTTGTCTCAAGGGACAGTTTTCAATAAAATCTGATGTTTGGTCATTTGGAATTCTGTTGACAGAATTGGTCACATATGGACGTATTCCTTATCCAGGAATGGCAAACAGAGAGGTTTGTAAAAAAAATTCTATTAACTCCACTAGTTCCAGATTATAGACTCAACAGGGAACAACACATTTGAGTGCCCGCTGAAGTGAGAGAAATAAGTAGATCATATATATTCCTTGAAATCAGCCCTAGAGTATAATTATCTCCTATGCTAGTGGAAATGAGCATCTGGAAAATCCCAATATTGTGAAGTTAGAAAATTATCTTGTTGATGTTGGTTCATGTGGTGTTATTTATGAATTCCTTAAATATTTTTATGTTTATTTATTTCTTATATTTATTTTATTTAATATTTTTTAAAATATTGGGTTTTCACCATTCTTTCATATCAAAACCCATTCTTTCAGGTTGTAGAGCAAGTAGATAGAGGTTATCGGATGCCCAAACCTTCTCAATGTCCCAGCAGGCTTTATGACATTATGAAAGACTGCTGGAAGAAGGACGAACACACCAGACCAACCTTTGAAACCCTGCAGTGGCAATTGGAAGAGTTTTATCAGAACGATCCTTCCCAATATAAAGAGTTAGATAAGTGATTGATAGATAAACATAGTATATTTTGACACTCTCTTAACAGTAGTTTTACATTGTCACAGCTAAAGCCTTTAGAATATGTTCATGATGAATGCATAAGGGGACAGATATTGACATTATTCAGTCTTAAAAGATTTAATGATTAAGTTTGACATTTTTGTGGATGCTTTTGGAAGGATTGGTAACCTTTTGTTCTGTCTCATCAAGTTATGTCAGTCCTCTAATGGCTGTAAATTCAAGAGCACCACAATCATTTTTTTATTTCTATACATTGCTATAATATTGTTTTTTTCATTCAAGCATTTTTTTCCTATTCTTACGAACGAAAATGAAAATTGTAGTTGACATTCAAGATTTTTTTGTTAAAAAAGTAGATGATCAATTAAATGTATTTTTTTTTTGCAAAATAGCAATAATTCTCTCCTTTTATGGATATTTTGATGACATTCATCATGACAGCAAAAAAAGAAACAAAATTGAAACAAAATATTTTGAAACATAATTGATTATTCCTTTGACTCAAGAAAAATTATTGTATATATTTCCTGGCAATTAGTTGAGTTTACCCACAACTGGTTTGCATTTAGTTCTATTGAAAGCAATGCAGTACTAGTTTTCAGAGTGTTTCCTTAATTCAAATTTCCATGAATGGTTAATTATCGCAGCAGGTTTCATAATTTGTGGTTTTATGTCAATTGTCTCACTCTCAATCTTTCTATCAAGAGCTTTAAATCATCTGAGGAGCTGAAGTCTCTTGTCATGACTTTATATTATGAATTTTCTCTGTGACATTACAAACACGTTGTTTGTAATAATTCTAAGTATAGAATAATGTTTATACTACTAATAGATGTCCACCAAAAAGTCCGCAGAACAATACCTTTTGTGTAGACTTTGTCCACTGACCAAACATCTCAAGCATAGTTCAATCTGATTGATAGCAAACTAAAATCATACGATTTTGATTTAATTCCCAAAATTTGCATAAAGTCTGTTGATAATTCAGCAAAGCCTAGACTCTCTGCACTTCTATTTTATCCATCCCATTACCCCCAGCCTTGGCTAGAAGCCTACTTTTTTGTGCAAGTTTTGTCTATTACTGTAGTAAGTTGTAGATAATTCTTTTACTAGAATTCTTGAATCATTTACCAAAATATCAGCATCTATCATATCCTTATTAGCAAAGATTGCTAAATTCTCTTGTCAAATAGGTAATATTTGTAGTATGGAGGAAAACTCTAGAAAATACTGACATAGTTTTGCATTTATATGTTTATATTATTATTTCACTGCAGAATAGCAATATAAGAGAAATATAAGGCCCAGTTTACATGGAGATGAAGTGACTGTACTTGAGGTTACGCGACCAGAAGAGTATCCTTACTCTGTTGTTTTGGTTGGAAAGGGTTCTCACAAATTAATGGTCTTGGTGGTCTTAGCTATCATTATTAAGGACAACACCTTAATAAGCAACACCTTAATAAGACATCCAGATATCACTAGAAGAAGAAAGCTTAGTGAACATTCATGGTACTAATCCTACCCTCAGTACTTTTGACTCTTCTGGTAGTGTGACCCTCATTGTAAAGTAACTATCTCCACATAAACAGGGAATCAATCGTAACTTCCAATCAGTTTAATATACTTTACTTGCTTAGAAATGACAGAAATATGTCATAATTATTAATTTGGGTTTTATAGAATTATTGAAAAACACAAATGAATGCAGATAGTGTGGATCATATGTGGAAGACTATATAGCCAGAAGACCTCATTGGAGGTAGAGTCTATTGTGGTGACAAACAATGGAATTTAGCTCCCATGAAAGAGAGCAAGAAGTCTTATAATAAGACTTGTACAAAGTGACTACAATCCAATCCATGGATTATATGGATATTGTAGGTTTGGACACAATAGTGTTTCTATAGCAGATGCTTATCTAGGAGAAGTTGTACAAGTCTGGTATAGGATATATTTTCTTTAATTAGTCACTCATCCACTACTTGATCCACCCAAAAGAAAGAATCTCTTAAATATAAGGGGGGAAGTTAATGGCTTTGCTCATTGGAGTGATGTGTTTAGGCCAATAGAATTTTGCAAAACAAATGCCATTATAATAATCACAGCTCTAATTAACAAAGGTAGTTGTAAATTTAGCTTAATTCACTCACAATAATACTTTGTAGTTACTAGGGCTGAAACACTCAATTCCATGTAATAAGGTAAAGTTGCCAACAAAATACGTTATATTTAGTAAAGACATTTTTAACAGCTTGTGTGCAGCCAAAACAAGAAAAGGCAATAAAGAAAACCCTCACAACAAAACCAGTCTATTACTAAAATTCTGAAAGCACTTATTGACTTTAGTTTCATGGATATTGTGTGTTTCACTCTACTGCTGGTAAATGATAATGAATAAAAGCCGTTGGTATTTTTATATTAAATTTTAGATTTGTAAATAAAGCTTTGTATTAATTATCTTATTGTTTCTTGGTTTTGGGACCTTGGTTCTGTGTACCCATACCCGGTAAAGTTCCATTTGGATGAAAAGATTCCATTTGGATGAAAAGATGGAAAGTGAAAATGAACTACTCAAAATGTACCCGGAATAATTTTTTAGGAGTTATCCAATAGGAGAAATTAGATTGAAAAACACTGGCCAATATGAATAACTTTTCTTTACTGCACAGATTAGCCTATTTCAAACTATACATATCAAAATGCACCCCTTCAAAATACTGCGTGAGAAATGTGTTTCTCAATGAAAATGAGAGCCATGAATGAATGTTCAGAGCCTTAAGACCTAAAAGGGAAAGTGTTTTGATATATGTAATAGTACGTGTCAAGATATGGAGCGGATGGAAGGGATAGGTATGTGTATACCCCTTGGCTTTTACATGACCTGCAATGGGTGCGACTCTTGTTGTGATGAGCAGAGCAATAAATGTTAAGCCTCAGCACGTACAGGGCAAGGGATGTAATATGCAGGGTTGAATTGTGCAATTCTTTTGCAAATTGTCCAGTAATGACATTGCAAAATGACTTGTGGGGAATACGCCTTTTCCTGTTCAAAGCTAGCAACCGCTGCTGTAGTTGACAACAAGTCTGTCATGCGCAGACCTTACCAAAACCAAAAGAAACCAAGAAATGTTGTCATTACAATAGCAATACAAATTTGCATTTTCTTTGATTTGAGGCTTAGCCTGTTTTCCCAGAAGGCTCAAATTCTAGGTCTTCTGGGAACACATAGCATCTGTAAGCAGACGTTTTTAGCGGTTCAAATTGTGCTTTCATGCTTTCTTTTGTTCTCTATGCAAGTGAGTCTGTTGTGCAGTAAAACAGTGGTGGCTTGCATCAAATGGGGGGAAAAATTGTGAGGAAAGTTGCTGGAGTGATGATCACATGCTAAAGAACAACTAACATTGATGGAACTTTAATTGAAGTGAAAATGATTAGAGAAATAATCTCTTCCTTTGAAGTGAAATAAATTTGTCATTTACAAAGAAGTATTCTTCTTCATCTCTGTTAACTTAAGAAATATTTATTTAAAACTTTAAAAACTTGAAACTAACATATCGAAGAGATCTATTTAATCTACTTATTCATTCTTTGCCACATTCAGAATTGAAAATCTAGCAATATATACAAATATATGTGACAACTAATCATCTGCAAAGCCTTTCTACAAATGTACATTCAAATAAAAATTGCTCTTTACAATAAATAATGACACATAATTTGTTAAAATTTAGTCTTTATACTCTGCATAATTTGATGGATCCATAGTAAAGAAATCTTCAAGTTTCCACTGAAGAGTTTCAAAAGTTGGCCTTTCCTCTGCAGTGTGTTTCCAACAGTCTTGCATTATCTGGTAAAGCTGCCCTGGGCAGTTTATAGGGCAAGGCATTCGATAACCCCTCTCCACTTGAGCCAATACCTCAGCATTGCCCATTCCTGGATATGGAATGCGTCCATAAGTAACTAACTCCGACAGCAAAATTCCAAATGACCAAACATCTGACTTAATTGTGAACTTGTTATACAAAGCTGCTTCAGGTGCAGTCCATTTTATTGGAAACTTAGCACCAGCCCTTGCTGTGTATTCCCCTTCATCAATCAGCCTAGAAAGACCAAAGTCTGCAATTTTGACAACATTTTTATCTCCAACCAAAATGTTTCTAGCTGCAAGGTCTCTATGAATATAATTGTTGATTTCGAGATATGCCATTCCAGCAGCTATTTGTGCACCCATATCAATTAGTTGAGGCAATAGTAATGCTCTACCTGGACCTTTTAAATAGTCTAATAAACTACCACAAGCCATCAGTTCAGTAACAATGTATATGGGTTCCTCTTTAGTGCACACGGCATATAATTGTACAAGCTTTGGATGTCTAAGCTTTTTCATGATTTGAGCCTCTGCAAGAAATGCTGTTGGAGACATAGTTCCTGGACGCAGTGTTTTAACAGCCACTGGTGTGGTGTTATTCCATAACCCCTCCCAAACTTCACCAAACTGCCCTTGTCCAAGTTTTGAGATAAGACGAATTGTCTCCCTTGGAATCTCCCATTGATCCTTTGTATTGTAAGACAAGTCTGGTATGATCGGCATTTCAGCTGGTTGACAAGGGCTCTTCAGACGAATAACAAGACCATCAGCATCTTTCTTGTAGTGCTCAACCAAATGTGATAAAGTTTGGAATTGAGAACGATGTGCAATAAAAAAACCACCACTATCAAGAGTACGTATTCGATAATGCTTGATGTTGTCTCCATCCCTGATTGACATTGAATAATCTCCTGGTTTACTTTCACTCTCACGAATGAGAAATGACCCACTTTCACCATGCATAAGCAATAGCTTTTCAGCATCAACTCTTCTAATTGGACCAAAGTACCACCTGAGTGAAGAAAATATTACATTATTACAAAAAAGTTTTTCTTTCTTTTATAGTATTTATTGAATAAATTCTAATCCACTTCATAAATATCTATTCCAAAGCAAGTGAATAATGCTTATTATGTGGATAATGTTATTTACTCAGTAACCTGAAAATGATATTTTATAGTACATGTTTGTACGTATTTATTCTATTTATAACACAAATATCATGTTTTGCCACTCAAACATTGAGCTCTTTATTAAATAATGAAAATTTGATATGCTTGAGGCATTGGCTAAACAGAGATGTCCCATAATTTTATCTTTATTTTGTAGCCTGGATTAAATCCTTTGGTTGTAGCCACATGGCTAAGAATTCCCACAGAAAAACAGAACAAACCTATTACTGCTATGACTGGATGAATGGACAAGAGAAGTTAATGAGGAATGCTTTATAAACTTTATCCAATAAGGTGGCTGTGACTTAACCAACAACCCCATATTTGCTTTATTTTTAGTGCGGAGGTTGGTTTATATAGAAACACTGGAGATTCAATAATTTCCATTTCATGATCAATAGCACTGCATGGTAAATTTTGCATTGGACCTCGGCTACATGCATTTTAGTATTATAACCCTGGTATGCAGGATATTTGCATAAAGTCCAATAAAATGAAAGGCTTGAATAATTAATAGTAGTCAACAATATTTGTAAAAAGAAAACACTTTTGTTTTTTGTTTTTTTTGCCGTTAAAGGGGTAATTATCAAGGTAATCTTGATTTCTGTCATGCTTTAGAAACGGTCCAGTGGCATTTTTTCATCCGATTGAGCAAAACCACTGAAGTGAGGTTTATGTTTCCGTTGGAACTTCATTTTACGTTATTGTTACGTAAAAGATCAATACAGTGTTTGTGTTGTAATACCATCACGTCCATTAAGACTTGACATTCAAATCGGACTTTCTTTCAACACATTGTACTTGGCCTTCAAGTTGTCACAATGTAATTCATATTTTTCTGCATTCCTATGCATGACGATACGCAACCACCAACGTCGTACCGTCTGGACGATGTCACGAAAATAGCGAAGGGAAAACTAACAAGAAGTTATCTTAGGTATTCTAGATTTTTCAAAGGGGTTTAATTGCATGAATAGACTTTCAGAATTAGAGTAAATATTGAATCAATCACCGTCTTGTATCGTGGTGGGGATGTCCAAAAAAATTGACAACAAAACTATGAAGTCAAGGCCAACACCGTTTTGAATCAAAACATGACACGAGCTCTTAATATTTTGCCAACATCAATTTCCAATAACGTGTTGAATGATTAGTCGTGTCGAAGTTTTGCTTGACACAGAATAGTGATTTAAATGTGTAGAAATGAGGGAATAAAGTGCAAACTTACTCTTCTCTTCGCAATGAAGACTGTGGCGCAACGTAATTACTAGGAATGTATCCAACTCCATTGGTAGCCAGCGACCTTGCTTGCCACCAATCTCCACAATCGATATCATTCACTACTTCTAACTTTTCTCCTTTCTTGAAACTCAAGTCTTCGGCTGTCCTCGCATCGTAGTCGTACAATGCGATAAAGATTTTTCTTTCTTGTGGAGGAAGTGTTGTCGGCACGGGAGGCAATACCTGGGAGCGTTTTCGTTCCTTCTCTTCTTGTTTGTATCTCTCCTCTCGCGCACGGTCTTCCGCATCGTCAGTTTTAGGCGGCTTCCTTTCACTCCACTTGTACTTTTTGCTGCTTTGAATGCAACCCATTTTGAAACGATTGAATACAATATGACAACAACGATAAGGTTGCGGCTTCTCCCTCTAACTCATGGCTATCTGTATAATCAATAACCAGAGAATATCCGTTTTATGCCAAATAGTTTCTAAGACGACAGCCTCTAGATGAATAACTTAACAGTCTTTCACTTTTGAATTCCTAAAGAGACAAAAGTTCCTCCCTGCAACTAATTCAAAAGCATTTTTCACAGGATCAAAGAAGCGTTTCACTTTCACTCCGCGCTCAAATCGTTCTGCTCAATGAGGCGTCGCCCATGACGTGACCATTCCGAGAAGTCCACGAGTGGTTTAACGAAAGAGTATCGAGTGGTATTTTCTGGAAGATGTTATGCATGACGTCATTATCGTTTCGATATTGATTCAATTCCGACTGCTTTCCGAATGAGTTATTCTTCCATATTTTCAAAATGGCGGAGTCAAGATCCGCAAAAGCGACAGGTCAAATTGATCTTGTTCTTGTTGAAGGCTTGGTAAGTGTTATTTCTACTTTTAGATTTAATAAATTAACTTAGGTTATCATAAGGAACGAGCTGATACTGATTAATTTTGATGATAATGTTTCCAATTTGTCGGCTAGAAGTTCAGTGCAATAGTCAAAGTGCACGTGTACCAATGAACACATATATAAGTCCACCATAATCCGATATTTTTTATCATTAATATTTTTTGTATGTTTAAAAATCGTTGTTAAAATTTGTATATTAAAATAAACGAGCATCAAAATGTTCCTTAAAACCAGGAGGTTCAAAATGTATTGATGTATTATGATGATATTGATGATGATAGAGTACAAACACTAAAACTGTGCAACATAAATACCACTAAATACTGCTAATTCTATTGTTTTCTATTGTTTAATTAGCACTATTTTGTAGTAAATAGTGGAAAGTATTGCACACATTTAATGTTTGTACTCTAACTGTAATAAGGTTGATTATCGATGATTTTCCATTGAATTGAGCTATAAGCTTAATCTTTTCTTCAGACTGTTTTAAAGATTATCAAGCATTGCGAAGAAGAAGGATCTAATGGGGACCTTGTCCAAGGAGTGTTGCTTGGCTTGATCCAAGATAATCGCCTGGAAATCACCAACTGCTTTCCATTTCCCTCCTCAAAACCAGGAGAAGATKAAGATGAAGATGAAGGTAAAGCCACATGGGCTGTTGGGCAAATCCATCTGGGCCAGCTTGAGGAATGGATAAAGTCAGGGGCGGATTTAGGGGTGGGCCGAAGGGGCCATGGCCACCCTTTTTCTTGAAAAAAACTTGAAAAGATCCTTGTCAATATCACTGATAATGCTGGAAATGGCATTTTTCATGGTTTAAATTTCAAAATTTTTCGGGGGAGCATGCCCCTAGACCCCCTATATATTCCCGCCTTCGGTTGAATAGAAGGTTGAATATATCTTGGTTTAATTTGGGGTTGAGGAATTTACACTTAGATGTCTGCCGATAAATGTCTGTTTTTTATTTGGAGATTATAAGTTAGAGAATATGCAACTAGCATTATACTTACTCATACTGTAGTAATGATTCTTGATGTTATTTTTGTTGTTAGTAATGAAATCTGTGGTTAGAGTTAATCATTTCATAGTCATCATATCTTTTATTTCTTTTGGTTTAGTGAGCTACCAAATGGAAATGATGAGACGTCTAAGGGCAGTCAACATTGACCATTTACATGTTGGTTGGTACCAAAGTACATATTTAGGATCTTATATCAATAAGACACTCTTAGATTCACAGTATAGCTACCAGAAATCCATAGAGGAGTCAGTTGTTCTTATTTACGGTGAGTTATTTCTTTATTGTGTTTTAATTTCACAGCTTTTTTTAATGGAGATGTAAACTAGCGAGGGACGATGGGTCATGAAGGTGTACTGATAACTTCAGATTGTGTTCTGCAAATTATTGACAAAGCACAACTAAAGAATAACGTGATATCTGACATTTTGCTCAATAGCCAATTTACGAATTTTGCCTCAGTAGTTACACACAAAGGAATCAAAATGAGGCGCCATGCATAAAGCTCAGTCATTTGTGAAAATACAATAGGTTTTTTGCAATTGAGCTTTGTGCACAGCACGTCGTCTTGACATTTTATGAAACTATTGTTTTATTTAGATCCACTCCGCACCTCCCAAGGAATGTTAACTCTAAAAGCATTCCGATTGTCCAATGAAATGATGAAGATTTACAAAGAAGGAGAATTTACACCTGATAAGTAATACTCTATGCTTGTACTTTTGCTTAGTTAGGTTTTCATGAACCCGTAAAATTCTCCAACATGTGTGATTCTTTTATATTTCTTTTTGATACACTTTGTTTCACAGTTTATGAAAACCACTTTATGCATATTTTTCTTTGCATCTTTGGTGTATTATGCTGCTTTTCATTCATGAGTTTTTGTACAACCACTGAATGATACCGTCCTGCCCGAAAACTTCGTACGTCATCTCAAGTGTTGCTGTCTGTAAAATCGTACAATCTAAAGTCCTGTGGTTATCGTTCGTTTTCTGTTGCTGCTCCCATATTATGGAACTCTCTACCTGCCTCTATTAGAAATATCACTGCCATTAACTCTTTTCAATCCTGCCTTAAAACTTATTTTTTCAAACTTGCCTTTAATTTGTAAATTTTGTTTATAACCTGTATAAATTTTTTAATTTTTTTTTTTCTCGGCGCTTAGATCTGAGCTGTATAAGCGCTTTAAAAATTAACATTATTATTATTATTTAATGTTGTTCATTTGTGGCTAGGTTATCAAAGCAAGGTGTTAGTTACTCTTCCATGTTTGAAGAAATCCCACTTGTAGTGAAGAACTCAAGCTTAGTCAATGTACTTTTGTCTGAAATCAAAGATGACTCACAGTCACAGCAGTCTCACTCCAACCAGTTCTTATCATTATCCACTGGGTATGTAGTAGCCAGACTACTTCTATATAACTATTCTGACCTATTTTATTCTTTCATATCTGTAATTGCTTGGACCCTTCTCTGATAAGACTCCATTTTACAGTTCCCAACACCATCTTAGAAGGTTTCCTTCAAAGCAAGACAGCAGTTGAACCTGAGTGATACATATAGATTACCTTTTATTCATACTCAAAACATTGACACATATCTATCAATGCAAGCTCAACCACTGTCTTGCTTTTATGCAAAGGCTTGGCTGACTTTCAAGATGGCAGTTGGGATTGTACAATTGTGTGTTTTGATGTCATTTAGGGTAATGGAAAGGTCTGAATTCAGAAAAGTTTAGCTTAGTTAAATATAAAAAATATTAAACCTTTGAAGTAGATCCATATTACTTGCTGATTGATAGTTAATGACCTTGACTGATCATTCACAGGTTAAGGTTAATATTCACAAACTTGTTGAAACATTGTACCTCACTTTAGGTCTTACCTTGAGAAAAATGTACGGTTGTTAATGGAAGGAGTAGATGAACTTTGTCAAGATGCGAATAAGTTTCACAACTATCAACGCAGCGTGTCACGCCAACAACAACAGAAAGATAATTATATTCAAAGAAGGGTAGGTTCTTTCTGCAACTAAGTTTAGAATTTAAGGTTGTTTCTCAGCCATAAAACAAGAATAAATTAAGGTAAAGTTCAGTAATACAGCACAAATTGAAAACTGCTTTTTGATTGCACCTCAAGTACAGCAGCTCTATTAGGTTAGGTTTTGTTTTATTGTTTTATGAATACTTAGCTATTGCTTGTCCACTGTTTTCTCAATTTATCATGAGATTTGTTCTGATCAGTGCTGACTGTCCATTAAAGTTTGATAAACAATGTTCAATTCTTAATGATTTGTATTTTTTAGCAACAAGAAAATACAGCTAGACAGTCCCGTGGAGAACCACCATTGCCAGATGAAGATTTAAACAAAATATTTAAACCACTTCCTGTTCCGTCGCGTCTTGACAACCTAATTCTCTCACAGCAAGTGAACAACTACTGCCAACATGTCAATCAGTTTTCAACTCAAAGTTTTGGGAAGTTGTTCCTTGCACAGAGTTTACAAGAAGAACAAAAGTTATGAAACTTTTACCACTGTAATGGCATGTAGACAAGCTAACGATGTTTTCCAATGAACAATATTTTAGTATTGCTAGAAATGATTCAATTGTATTTGGTTTAATTTCATTTGAAGGAAATACTGTATTACTGTATTGATAATACTGTTACTGTATTTATAAATGTACTCCTGATATATTCTTTTGTATCAAAAAGACTTAGTGATGACATTTTCTGGAGTAATACTTATGCCATGTTAATTGGAAAGTATTGTTATTGTGTAACCTCCCTTGTAGGCAACTTTACTCCAAGGGACTGCTGTGTTATTCCTTATCTCTTGACACCAGGTCTTCTCAGTCAAGGTTATTAACACAGGAAGACCAAAAGACAAAAAGTATGTTTCCACTGTAGTATAGTAGCCTGTGAAGGATGCTAGTTATTGTGCTTGTAAAATTAAATGTATGAAATGAAATAAAGTCAACTGATGCCAGTCATGTCTAGAGGCTTTCAGATTCTAAACTGTCCATTGCACATGTCAATGAAGCTCTTCATTTTCTTACAAAGAGTACCAAAGCATTTGATTTTGAGTCTGCTTCTTGCCATTTTCCTTAGAGCATATTGTTTCAGGGTTATCAACTGATACAACAGAGAGAATTCTCCCCAATTTTTTTGGAGGGGTGAGAAACGTATGTACAAAGGCTAGTCCTGGCTAGACAGGCTAGTAGAACTAAGATTTTTTTAGTACTTTCCAAATGTTTCCTGAGTACAGGAGAGAACCTGAACTTTAAGCCTGAAACACTTTTGTAAGGATGATTGGCATACGTACTTTGCCATACAAATGATGGAATTGACAATATACCAATATCACACTTAAACCATGCAACTGTACAAACTAAATAGTGCTGTATAGTTGTATTTAGTAAATCGTATATGTGGTACGCAACTAAATTGAATAGCCTTTTTCCCGTTCGAAGTGAGAAACCGCTGCTTTAGTAGACAACAGTCTCTCATGCGCAGAGACCTGACCAAAAACAAAAGAAAGCACGAAAAAATATCGTCATTACCGTAGCCCTATAAATTTGTATTCCCAGAAGGTTCAAACTTTCAATCAGACAGCCTCAAATCAGAGAAGATTCAAATTTCTAGGACTATTGTAATGTAAACATTTTTCCGTGCTTGCTTTTGTTCTCTACGCAGGTGAGTCTGTTGTTTACTAAAATAGTGTTCGCTCACATTGAACTGGAAAAAGGCTTATTGATACAAATGAAGCATTCAATACGTCTTGGCTCAGGTCCACTTTTAGTACAAATTAGTTCTTCTTAGGTTTTGTACACTTGCATGGTTTAAATGCGGTCAATCTAAAAGTGAGCCTTTGCAGAATACTAATAAATACTGCTAACTAAACAATAGAAAATCATAGAATTAGTGGTATTCCTGTTGTAAATAGCTACTGTAGAAATTGCAATCTTATTGGGTTAGGTTTATGTTGGACTATATGCAACAAACCAATACCTTTTTGCTGTATTTCTACAATTTTATTGCTATAAATTTATATTCCTTTTTACATTTTTTGATGAAGTTTTTTGAAAGTCATTGAATGAAAAAACTTCCTCAGGATTGTTTACTATTGCTATCTAGAACTAATATCATAATTATAGACTTAGCAATACTTTTGAATCAATACTGGGATCTTTAAAACATATCACTATAGGCTTCCTTGCAAGCTTTATCGTAAGCATCATGTTCTTCTTGTGTCATTGACTCAATCATATCTCCTTTAACATCATGTAAAGCTACCAATTTCCCTCCAATCTTAATCTTAATCTCATTATCCCCATCACTGTCTGCTTCCTCCATGGCTTCTGTGACTTTATCATCCTGAGAAACAGGAATGGTTTTCATTTCTTCATCGTCAGAATCGTCACTTGACTCTGATTCTTCCTTGCCAAGGGCTTGTTCAACATCTAATCTTGGTTTTTTACTAACACTTTCATGAGCCAACAAGTCAGCAAGTATTTCATCTTCTTTATGTGCAGATGTTTGAGGTCCTGTTGAAGTGTTCGTTGTCGGGTTGTTCTCATTCTTTGTCTCCTCATTTGGTGCAACAGTACTTTGTTGCATCCATATAGGAGCATCCTTAACCCGTTTAGTTTTGTCACTGTCATTGTCATCCTCTGGCCCCATACTTATCTTAATTCCAAGATCACCTGTGTCTATCCCTCTTCGATCATGAGCCCACCCTGATTTGCTTGCATGAGTACCATGACTTGCTCTGGAAGCTTGTACATTGATAGACGACAAGTCTGGCTCTGGTTCAAGGATTTGTGGAGCCAAGTTGATATTCTCAGATTCTTTTAACAATAGAAATATTGGCTCTAGTTGTTCATTAAACCTTGCTAAAGAGGTTCTGTAATTATTACCTTGTTGGATTTCACTAACATCTTCTTCGACAGTTCCACTACAGTAAGTACACTTCAGCAACCCTGTCATCATGTCGATCAAACGGTCCACTTCTAAATCAGAGTATTTGTTAGCGCACTGTGTGCATAAAAACGAAGGTCTATTCTTAGCCTGTTTCTCGTCACTCTCGATCTTTTTTCGAATATGATCAAGTTTGTATCTAACGACATTAACGAAGAGTTTATAGTTTATGAAATAGTAATTAAATGTAAGCATTGTCCCAGTGTCCGGCTGTTTTTCTTTGTGTACACGCTGTTTTATCAGTTTATCATTTTTGAGTCGCATAATCACTTGACGTAGTTGCCTTTTATCAAACTTCAAAAGCTCCATCAAGTCTTCTTCCTTGACACAGGGATGCTTGGCGTTCGTAAGTACATTGACCAAAGCGACATGTTCGTCCTCGTAAAACCCACGCACAACGAGTTTAGCAAGTCTTTTGAGGACAGGAGGTACCTCCAACAATAATGCCGGTTCGTCCATAACTCCATTCATTTTGAGTGATGTCAGTGAAGGGAAAAACAAAACTACAACGTGAACCCGAAAGCACGAACAAAGAAAAGTGAAATGGACGACGTTTGGCTGAGATCTCTGCCATGGGTAATACCGCACAACAAAAGTAATGCAGATTCTTGTGTCCGTGTGATCACAAAAATCAACGAGGATCAACGACAGGGCAACGACAGAGACCAAAAACAATTAAATAGTTTACAAATTAAATGGAGATATTCTACTGAATTATTGGCTTATTAGCGCCATTTAGAACTATTTGGTTGGTAATTTTTAATGTTTTTATTGTTTGCACTATATAATATCACAATAGAGGATGGATAGATTCCCGGGGGGGACTCCCTAATTATGGATTCCCCTCCCGGGATAGATTCGTCTGTCAAAATGAATAATGCTATATAATGTTTTTTGTCGGGTATTTCGCCTTGAATACACTCCATTAGTACTTGACAAGGAACTCAGATTTCCATGGGGTAACCATTCCAGTCGTTGGCAAGTATAGAAAATAATGCGTTATGTACTTCTGATAATTATCTTTTATAATGGTCCGAATTAACTTTTCCCAAATTCAAAATTAGTTTACCAGATCCCATTTGGTCATTGATCAATCATTTTTCAATTGAATACTCCAATTTCGAGTTCTGGTTTGCTCTGTGTTAGCCTCAAAACCAAGTAACATATTCTTTTGTTTCATTAATAGCCTGTGAAAACGCATGGAATTTGAAAAGAAAGACAATAGAATTGATATGAAATCTCACACTTTTATTCTAACAATTAGGAATATTTTGCGCACAAATGAGGCTAACACAGAGCATTGGAGAATTCGAAACTGGATTATTACAAATGCAGAATCAAGTTGGATATGTACAACTATTTCAAAAACGTTGTTGGGGATAACGGCGCAGGGTGATGGGGAAATTGCATGACCGAAAGGGATTGGGAAATTGCATGACCGAAAGGGACTATAACGGTTACGCTGTTGGCAGAACAAAATTCACTTGTTGAGTTCACCTCGCATGAAAATGCGAGTAATATTATACTCCTCACAGCCATTTTCCGGTGTCGTCTCCTTTAGTATAAAGCAGACTTAGCTGATTGTTTCGGCATGCAGCCACGGGTGATGTAGATGCAGCTTTCGCGCAATTTTAAGTTTTCACTTTTTTGTGCGCTTTCCTTTGAAATCCAACCTGTTCATATAAGTGAGAGGGCAAAGGCCGTTCACATTGATGCGTTTTAATTTCATTGTGTTTTTGAAGCCAAAGGTCTGCACTCTCAAAGAATGAAGTAACAATACAAAACCGTTACGAAAACGTATCAGTGTGGAAGAGGACTGAAGATCTAGGCGCAACGGTTTTCAATATTAATAATTGACCTTTTTATGTGTAAAAAATGGATTTCTAGCACTAATGGTGTGCAAAAGTCTTTAATAAATGGCACCATTATGATATTTGATCGTTTGAATTGGTCACCCGTACAATTGACACCAAGCCTCTCACGGTCGTTTTCAATATTTAATTAGTCAGACTAAAATAAATAGAAAGTGATCAAAGAAATAAGATTTTCGTCGAACTTGTGTTCTTGTGGACTAAAAATCGGTTTGTTTATACGTGGTTGGAGGATATTAGAAGGTAGGTTTATAAGGTTTACTATTGGTACTCATAAAAATTGGCGAGTTTTTACCATGGGAAGATTGAAGAGTCATTTAATTCAAATGCCAACAATATTTTGTCGTTTGCTGACAAGGTAGTACATGAGCCGACCGACGACGTTTAAAACAGGTTTGTTTCATATTCTAAGTCATTTCTGAACTGTGAAATTCATCTCTATAGGAAGTAATATAATCTAATGAACTGTGTAATTGAGAAAATCGTGATTTTTACTATATGGCAATTTAATGATTCAATATATTGACCTAAAAAAGGCAAATACCATTGAATAATTATTACCATTTACTTTAAATCATAATAAAATAATTTCGCTCCGTTAATAGGTATAGTTAATTTGGTCACTTAGGCTAAAACATACTTTTTTATTTGATAAGTGACAACTAATCAAGTGATGAAATGAAGAAAGTTTACGCATTGTCACCTTCATGTTTACGAATCAAATCTACCCAGGACCAGTGCATTATTGACTAACAAATGACTTCACTGTTTTGAATGCAATGTACGTACTGTTGCAAAACAATGTAACGCGTTTTATGCTATTTATAAAAGAATCTCATTCTGAAATTATAGATATGTAAAAAGTTCTGTCAAACTACTAGGGCTGTTATGTATAGAATATGAGCGGCCATTTTGGATGATAAAAGACTATAAAAATTTTTGTTTTGACTTTGCAAAAACAGTCTTCAAATAAATAAGGACGGCCTTATTTTTTCAAATAATTAGTACTTATTTCAACAAACTTTCATTTACTTATCAAAAGCTTAGTATATCTTTGATAGCTTGTGAATGAGCGATTTTCCTTTTCGATACTCATTTTAAACTCCCGTCCAAAATATCATTGTTTGTAGTTTTGGATACCATTTTTTCGATGAGTGATTAGGTCATCGGTAGTTTAAAGTACACTAATTTTCTCTTCGTGTTTTTCATTTTACAAAGCTTTTAAAAGATGTGATGTCAGTTCTTTTAATATGACTCAACCAAATTGAATTTGATTCAATTATATTTAACTAATTTAATTGATAACCAATTTGATTCAATTATATTTAACTATGACTTCTGGTCAGTAACTCTTAATTCCCAAACCTTGTTGCGTGTCGACGATGACATTTGTTTATTGGCGATCAAAATCTACTCTAAAATCAAGTTTTTTATAAGATTGGGCATGTTTATGAGTCAATAATGGATTCTACTGAAAAAGGTAAGTCAGTGCAACTAGTGCAAGCTCGAAAAAAGTTACAATTACATATTATCTTTGGTAAGTGCGCTCTGATTGGTGAACGAATGTGAAGCACTCTCAACCTATTGTCCGACCTTCTCCAACTGCAGCAGTGCTCCTCTCATCTTTCTCTCTACTTTTTCTGATTCCAGAATTAAATAAACTTGCAGCTCGAGTTGATATTTAAGATTATACATCAATCATTATGATCACTAAATGGTAACGTCCAATGTCATCTTTCGTACTCGGTGGGTCATAGGGCAAAAAAGGGCGGGAAATGCAAATGGTACGCGCGTCAACAGAAAAAGGCGGGAAATTTTGTGAGAGATGGATGAAGTTCGATGATTCCCAATGTTTGCACTCAATTATTGATATTCACTGCTTGGAGGAAAATTCAAAAAAACACAAAACGCTCTTATTTCACGTTTTCGTACACAGGAATGGTTCTCAACGTGTAAATTAATCAAAAGCTTCTACAATTTACAAGAAAGGTTTTCAATAGCCATGGAATCCACATCCAGGTTTTTCGCCTTCGCTATTCTTCTACTGACATGTTATGGATCAAGCGCACAAAAATTCAGGCTTAAATCAAATGCTGATGGATCCTTTCTATTGGTCCCAGCCAACGCCACAGTGGGCAGTGATAACGTATTAGTTGATTTAAAGAATTTAGCTCCTATTCCTGTAAAAGGCAGTACCCAGGAACCACCTGGTACAAATTCACAAACACCACAGATGATTATTTCGAAATTGGTAAGAAAATGGATAAATAATACTTGACCTAGCAGCTGTTTAGATATTTGGGAATCAAAATTCTGTAAAAAAAACATACAAATTAATGATTTTTGCTTCATGTGTAGCCTAAACCTGCTGCTAATCCAGGTCCATCGCCAGCGCCTGTTACTGCAGCAGCAACCGCTGCAGGGCAGACAGGGGGAACAACGCAGACGCCCACTACAAAACCTGTAAGTTCACTGAATCACGATCTATAAAGCAAATTATAATAAATACTGTAACAATGTATATCAAAGAGCATTACAATATGCAGAATATTCTAATGATTCAAATGATCCTCCTAGCAACAACAGCAACAACAGCAACAACAACAACAACAGCAGCAGCAGCAACCAAACCCTACTCCTCCGGGAGGAGTTGTTGCGCCATGTGCTGGTCCCTCATGTAAACCAAAACAGGTTAGTATTAAAAACACGACCTTTGCCTATGATTGGACCGGTTCTTGATTAAGATAATAACACCAACTGCCGTTATTACCTAGTCTAAGTAAATTTCTTAAAAATATGAACTTTATTTTAGAACATGATGACCCTTGCGTTGAAAGGAAAAGATGGTGCCAAAGGGAAACCAGGCGAGCAGGTAACACTCAGTTGTGAATTGATTACTATGTTATCGTTTAAACGTAAAAACGAATACGCTCTAAATTAAATAAATTAAAATTAAATTAAAATTGAATTAATTAAATAAAAAATTAAATTGATTAAAATTATTTGAATTAAATTAATGAATTAAAATTAAATTAAAATTAATTAAATTGTCATTAACAGGGACCCCCTGGACCACAAGGACCCCCAGGTACGCCAGGAAAAAAGGTACGCAATATATTTGCAGCTTTTACACACCGCCTAACAAAAGATATAGTTAAAAAAAAGTTATATATATATTTTAACACATGTCTTTCTGTACTGTTGTGTTCAAGGGTCCGACAGGTGAACCTGGAAAATGTGAGCCAACACCGGTAAGTCATCTCAGAGGCCTCGAGCAGGATCTCTCTGTTAACAAATTCAAGAAATATTCACAAAGATTCTTCATCCGGCGCTCATAAGTGCTTAACTTGAGCTAATAACTACAATTTCATTTTCTTCAGTTCAATTGTTCTCCTGCTGTTTTAGCAACGCTTCAAGCTAAGATAATTGCTCTTGAAAAGCAATGTCAGGTAGGAAAAAACGCAACATAACAGCGAAAGTCTGAACTATAGTTTATATTGATGATACAATTGTGTAAAAAGATGAATTTAACACCGTAAAAAAGTAGGTGAAATAACTACCTGACGTTTCGGACGTTAATCCTTCTAAATAGATTGCTGACGTTTCGGACAGTAAGCTATTTCACCTACTTTTTGATTTACGGTGTTAAATTTATCTTTCTACACAACTGTTTCTTTAAAAACACCGACGCAGCTCACACTAGTTTACCGCTAGTTCCCACCTATGTTCAGATTTTGGATATATTGTACAATATAGGGGTATTAGAAGGAGAAAAGCAGAGAAATTATTTCCCATGAAATAATCAATAACACTGATAGAAGAGCCGATGCATATACTACATGTCTTGATAATATCTTGTGGCTTACATAGTATATTATGTCTTTGAAGAATATTGGAGGAACAGGAGGCGGCGGAGGACCCACAACACCTACAACCCCACCTACACAGAAAGGACCACCCTGTGTCATAGGAAGCTGGTATGTTGATGGAACTGTTCTTTCTTTTTTTCCAATAATGCAAAAGTAATTTTAAACCCCCGGGGAGGGCCGGGGAGCTAACTTTTTATAGTCGGGGAAGACTGGTTTAAAGCGTCAATCCAATGGTATGCAAACATTGCTGAAATTTTATGAGTGTTTTGACACGAGGTCGCAAAATCTTGCGTGGAAGGGATATTGCTCTATTACTTCAAATACAAGGTACTCGATGTTAATATTATCGTGATAACTTTCTTTACACAGTAAAGCAAATCCAGCCGCAAACTGTCAAGTTATTTTCCTTCAACTACCAAACTCTTCAAGTGGACCCTACTGGATAAGAGGCTCCAAGGAACCGTTCAAGGTGAGCCTGAGATATTGCTAGCTACCCACACAACGTCGAAGTTTGAACAATGGCCGAACAAAGCACGAATAGCCCGACAAAGTATACGAACAATAGCCGAAAAATGTACGACTATCAAAGAAGTAGCGAATGTGCATGTAGTTGTGAGGATGAAAAAACTAAAAAAACAAACATAAAAATGTCTTATGTTATCGAGAAGTAACATCAGAAATGGTGTTTTTGAAGCTTTTCAAGCATAATTAGAATCTGCAGGAAAAAACGAGGCAACATGTTTTCAAAATTAAGTATTTTTGACAGCTGTCTGACCAAGATGCTCATACCGTCTATAACGGTTCAGTTAGGGACCGTGGAGACCGAGAGGTATTTTGTTTTTTAATTCATGTCTGACCCGGATATGATGAAGATGAGATTTGCGCGGGAAATCTAACGCGCCCGCGTTTCCGAAGGATCTCACATGAGTACGCCATTGAAATTCTACAATAAAAATGTTATATTCTGTTGAAATGATATTGCTGCATATGAGGTCGAGGTCAAACGATGGATTTATAGAGCCTTTTTATTCTGGAAGGGCACACCGTCGCTCTTATAATCTTTTCCTCTAAACGTGCTCCACGGTCCCTGATGGTAACTTGTCGCTGTTTTGAAAAAGGTTTCTTCACAGGTATGTTGTGTGTTAAAATTAAATTGTTCTATTTTCGCGAGAAAATTGCAATTTTATGTATAATTAATGTAATAATGTTACTTTTTGAAAATATGCTGTTTCGTTTCCCTGCGTTAACATTTTATGCACAATTTGCTGTGCCGTATATGTTCCAGCTGAGTTATTAAAAATTAAAAATAATAAAAAATAACATTTTGTAATGTAAAATAATTCAATGTAACCAGCTAATGAACTCCATGACGCACTAACCAGCTCAACTTGAAATAGCTAATGCTGAAACCAAAATAAAGGATTTGATTTTATAGTACTGAGTGGATTCTTGAAAACTTTGCAATCTAATAACGTTATTTCGTCTTGGTTTCGTCTAAGACCGATGATGCATTCTTTAAAGTGAATAACCTTATTCCCGGCTGCATAAAACTAATATAATACTGACTACAAAACTTCTATAGACATGCAATGTCCTGAGTGACTTGCGAGGACATGATGCGGTCAAATCGTCTTCCCGCGAAAAGCACTTGATAGCTTGGAGTCTTTTGTTCATGACATTATACCAGATAACATTTCAATATTAACTCAATAATTCATAACAATTTCTGTTACAACAGGGAGCTCAAATGAGAATACTGACTTGCTTAAGCGCAAGAAAGTGATACTAAAATTCACAATACTGTTTTACACTGATATGAAATAGCTTGGAAAAGCGTTGTCATTGATCATTAATTAAATTAGTGCTGGTCCAATTTTTATGATACGTCGTTTACATTCTCTAGACACTCTGCCAGTTCGAGCCCATGACAGCTCGGGGATTTACACTCGTGGCTCGAATACCAGGGAATGGTATCGATTTCTCTCCCGTCAGCAACACTTGGGCGGACGCGTCAACTATAAATGAATTAACTGCAGCAGATAAATACGCAAATACAACTATGAAAAACAGAGGATGGTCTCAGCTAAAAAATAAAGTACTCCGTGTATGCTATGACGGACCTAATTCTCACTGTGCAGACTTTTCCCATAACAAACAAATAACACTAACTGAACTCTTTAACAATCAATTTGGAGTTAATGTCGACGAAAAATATACGTTCAACTCGCTGCTCAAAGCGTTTGGCAAAAACTGTGATACTAGTCGCATGGTGAGGCAGTGGTGTGGCCTTAATGTAGCAAGTGTTTGCCATCCACAAGATATTAACCCTAATTTAAACCCTACTAACCATATAGCAAGGATTGGTTGTGTTGGAGATATTTTATCTACTTGTGGTCCTAATGACTTTGCATTAGGCGTAGGCGTGTCTAGTTGCTTTGATGGATATGGATGCTCTAAGGTTGGACCGAGAACATCCAATCTTCACTGGGCATGCGTGCCAACATATGGTCAATACAATCAAACAAGCTTTGTTTATGTAAACTAAAGACTTCGCTATGTAGTCGATAATTCCTTTTTGTAAATAAAAGATATTTCATAATGAAGTAGACTAGAAAATAGACAGGAACAAGAAAAACTAATAAACTTGTCAAAATATCATGGAACGTGTCCTGCTGGGAGAACCACCACGTGCATGCGTTCCTGGTTTGTTGCTGACGGAGAGAACATCGTGCCTGCCCCTCGGTGAAAAAATCCTTCATTAATGAACTTTAAAAAAGGCGAAATATTGACGCGATGTTCTGTTTTCAGACACACTGTAAGATGATGCGAAATGTTCATCAAGACATCCGCAATCCAGATAACGCCGAGCCTCCAAAGGGAGGCTGGACACTAGTTGCACGCATCAATGGGGCCGGCACGGAATTCTCTCCAATCAGCGACAACTGGTCAAACAACGTCACCTTCAACGAAGACACGGCCAGTGATATCAGTTCCAGTTCGTCTATGAAAAATGATGGCTGGTTGAGTTTAAAAAGCAACGCTATTTTATTGTGCCTCACTGGCGCTGACTCGGGCTGCGCACCATTCACTCACAAACGCGGAATGACATTACGGGAATTGTTTAAAACACAGTTTGGTGTTGTTCCCGAGGAGCAGTACTCGTTTGCTACACTGCTAAAAGGATTCGGCAAAAGTTGTGATCTATCAGTATTACGACAAGGCTGGTGTGGACTAAACATGGCTAATACTTGCAATCCAAGAAGGGACAATCCAAATGATAAGCCAGTACACACGACTCATATCGTACGCTTGGGCTGTATTGGGGATATACAAGCTACCTGCTTCCCAGATGACTATGCGCTGGGGGTGGGGGTGAGTAGTTGTAAGGATGGATACGGCTGCAGTTCTGTAGGAATGTCCAAGAACATGCACTATCGTTGTAATTACGTCCATGGTACTTTTATGCAGACAGGATTTCTGTACGTCTTATAAACTTGACAATTTCATACTGCCAGTCAGTTTATCCTAATTATTTATATCAAAGGAAATTATATACAAAATTGAGTTAATTACACAAAAACTCATAGACAATTTTATGTACACCTTTCATAGACAATTCATGTACACCTTTAGTATATCAACAAATTTCACCAATCAATAGATGGTTTAGACTCTGGACTTGATGAAATAACTAGATTTGGAAAAAGGCAGTTTTTGCAACTTAAGATACACAATTCAGAAAGGACATTTTTCAGCTCCAATGATTTCCGCGGTCGTTACAACGTTAACCAGAGAAGAATTAAAACAAGATTGTTATGAATAAAAGCTTTCGTTTATGACTTGCTCCCTTCTCTACCATTTGCGAATCAAAAAGACCGCGATCGCACACAAAATATCTTAAGTTGGTCTTTGGAAAAAAGTCTTGATATAATTAAACGGTTACTCCTCTAAGTGCGACGGGTCGACATGACCTTATGAAAATCGTCAAAAATATATATTTAAAAAAGTCTGAAATCGTTCGTATATCGCAGTTTGTGTGGACATACGTGAGAAATGCCTAAACTTAGTAGTTGAAATGATGCAAGACTCAGCATCACAAACTTTTACATGTAAAAACACGCGCGTTATCAAAATTATTAACCTTAGTATAATATGGTTTAAGCCGACACATTTTACTGTCCAGTGCCACCCAGTAACTGCGCATCGACGACATTCAAGTCGTCAAATTTATTAGGTTAACGTTAATTAAGCCAATTCAGATAAGATAAAAAAAGTGATTTATTGGATATTTTGGGTTTAATTGGAATAAATCCTAAAGATTTTTGTGAGAAATTCTATTGTGAAAAATTATTGTACGAAATGGCTTTTGTACTTTACAATATTATAGTATAATATTAGCATCGACCAAACTATGGATTATACAAATTAATCATTCTCCATGGCTACTCAACTACAGCCTATTCACGATCACTTGAAAAAAATTACAATTATTTTACTGCTCTTTTGTCAAATTCGTCCAATAGTTTGGTGAACAATTAGACTTGCCTGTCTATAGACTACAAATGGACTATAAGTTGATAGTCCATTCTGCCAATCACAACCGCAAGGACTACCAACTTGTAGACCACTCAACCTTGTGTTGAAATTGTTTACCATGACTGTTACCATTGCATGCGATCACATGTAAGGGCCAGCTCACACAATGACATAAGCATAAACAGAAGCAAAAGCTGGTTCACATTTGACATAAGCATGAGCAACTCCTTATATTGTGATGGTTCACACCTGTAGTTTTCAACACAGGCAGTAGCATGGAAACATATGAAAATGGAAAAGATTTGTATTTCTTATGTTTCTGCTTAAATGTCTACCCAGGTTCATCCACTATTGTGAACCAACCCTAAGGGATAGCTCACACAAATAATATACTGTAAGTAAGAAGAAGTGGAAAAAAATAATTACATGCTGATGTCTTATTTCACAGGATTGACTTCTTTATTCATGAATTATGCTTGTAAATGCTTATGGCATTGTGTGAACTAGGCCTAAAGAATATTAAGAATACCTATTAAACTGCCTGAGGATAACAACTGCCAATGTACTCATTATTGTAACCATAACAATGTATCTTAACAATTACATCATACTCTTCCATATCTAAGTGTACATCACCTCCACCACCAGCCAGGAAACATACTGTATACATTGCCATCTCAAACTCAGGACTCGTTCCAATGAATGAACTCCCCATTGGCTTGCATCCATCCTTCCATGTGAATTTGATAGTCATTAACTGACACTCTCTCATCTCATCTCCACTAACATAACGTTTCTATTGATGGAAAATGTTATATTGTCACAAACGACTAGCAGAGATTCAGTTCGTATAACATACTGAATTCTGAGTTCAGAAAATAAACATCGGTTGTAAGCCTGATAAAATGCAACAGCATTTTTGCCTTCGCGCTTTTAACTCAATCTTTACCACCTCTCTCACATTTCCTTACCAAAGATTGGGTATAACTTTCTGACTATCGATAATACTCGAAAGGTAAACAAACTTCAATATTCTAATCTGCAGTGCCTTGTCAAGAATAAAAACTAATCTATAAAAAAATTGAGAATCTGAAGAGATTTACATAAAGGACCCACACAGGTCTGTTGCCAAGACAAGGAGAAACATGTGACAAAAATATTGTTTAAGGACATTTTCGCTATGTCACTGCTCGACAATAGATAATATTACTTATTTTCGTCATTTGCATCCAACATAAGAATCTAATATCATTGAGAACTGTGTTTGTATAATACTTTTTGTAGTACATTGTAGCTTATGTTGTGTCTTTTTGACTTACTTTTCTGTTTGGGAAGAATCCTTTGTAGTCAACCAATCCTTGTTTTTCTTGGAGATAAAACTGAATCCAGTTATGAAAGCCAAGAACAGCAGTTTTATCTCGTGTCTCCCCAACAAACACATGTTCAAACCCTGAAGAATCTCTACAAAATATGAATAAGCAATGAATAAACAACAAGAATTTTTGGCCATCACCATATGTCATCAGCAATATCCTGAGCTTTTAAAGGCTGATTCACAATGTATGACTGTTGCTTGTATTATCAATACAACTTTAAAATGAGCTCCATATCATGCCATGTAAATGCCACTATGACTTACCTACAAGATTTGTAAGCAAGTAGTAGAATTTTGAACCACAGTATAAAATCTTACAACTTGTCATACGAAAATCGCATACTACAAGTTATCGTCAAAATGTAGCAATACCTGATTCCTCTAGTTCTGCAATATAAATCAAACCACAAAGAGTACAATTTTTTCTTGAATCCAGGTCGATCAGCTGGAACCAAGCCTTTTGATGCCAGAAATTTATGAGCTATTTGAATAGGTCCTGTCTCATAGATCATATCTATAAAGATACGGTTCTCATTGATCTCCTCCTGGGTAACAACTTCTCTTTTACCAGTGTCTGAGGTATAGTTATCAAGCAGCTTAATAAATGCTAGAAGGATGAATCAAATTAATCAGTCAGTACACAAGGTAAGATAAAAATCCATCAAAGTAAAAAGGTAAAAAATCAACCAATCAATCTAAATCAGAGTAAAAGTACTAGTTAAGTCAAGTAGTAATAAGAAGTACTTGGCTGCAAAAGAAACCAGGATTTATAGCTGTCTTATAGTTTTTGGAAGTGCAGCGCTTAAGCATACATGGTCACCAGAAACCATCCATTTTGTCAGGGTACATGTATTAAGATAACATGCCTTTAGCGCACCAATACGTGTACACCTTACAATACACAGGAATCAGACAATGCTTAATATGGAGCTACAAGGATAGGGCTACAAAGAGGTATATGTGGATGTAATGGGATAAGAGGATACGACATCTTGATCTATTCTAATCTATAAATTCTAACCCTAAAACCTCATCTCAAAGGATTCACAATATACACTGTGAGCAAATAGCTAATGCAAGGATATGAACTGGCCAGAGCGCTACACTGATAGAGCAAATTTTGTATGACTGCAGAAAAAATGGCACTTTCATGTCATCACTGTACCATGCTATGTTGGTGATGTATATTGTATCATATTATTTTTATTTGGAATTACTGTGTTTGCGCTTTGACTGGCACTGTAGCACAGCCATACAAAATTCACGTTACTATTACAAACTTGGGAGCATACTTCACTCTATGCACTTTCATAAAGTAGAATACTTAGTATTCTAGGTATTACATATTATCTTAAATCTTGATACCTCCATAGGTGCCCTTTTTCAGTACATCAGAGTCGACATAAGCAAACAGTGGATCTCTTGCACTGTCATTGGTTGAATGATATCTTGTTTTCCCCTGTGGATCTATCTGATATTGAACCTCTGGGGTCAGCCGGTTTTTATCTGCCTTCCACATTGACTCACACACATTGGAAAGTTCCACATTAGGAGTAAAACGCCTGAAATAATAAATGAAAATGAATAAGGAATAGCAGTAAAATATGATGGGGAGTGATGTGAATAAAATGCACAATTGTCAAAGTGAAATAAAAACTTGGGGAATGCTTTCAATACCATAAAAATCAATTGCAAGGTTACAAAAAGGTTCAACCTGAAGAAATCATCAACGCTAAGACCAAAGAAGACTTTCTGTACTTAGAAATTTGAATTATATTTGCTAATTTAATCAACTCATTTCTTACAGACAAAACGATGATTGTGAGTTTAATACTGACAGTCTTTGGGAATTGAAACACTGCTATACATAGAGTCCATGACATAGCTAATTGCCTTCCCATGCACCCTTTCGGTCTTAGCTCTGATGAGGTCACCTTTTGAATTTGTCTAAATTACTCCACTTAAGAGTAACTTGAGCACACTTTTGCTTGCAAAACCAAATAAAAAAGGATTATTTATTAGTCTGTATTTGCAGAGTAATTGTATACGTCAATGAACTGGAACAGTGTGTTTAGCTTTTGTTTCATACACAATTCTGGTTCAGTGGCCAACACCACCGTTTAATCGCAGAGGTAAGAAAGCTTACGATAAACTCTAAAGACGTGACGTGGCGTTTGATTGTATGCAAACATGCATCAACTAAATCCCTGTGCATTATTCATTGAGCAAAAGCTCCGGTGAAACTAGTAAGATACCGCATTTCTCGAAATATTTCCGATCAATTTGTATTTTTTATAGTTGGGTTGAATTGGCCACTGCACGCCGGTCATGGCGGTGGCTTTACCAAACAAAGTAGGTCGCCATTATTTGAATTACATGTTACTTACGATCCTTTAGACATTTTCAAGCCAGTAAGTAGTTACTTCTTGGGAGAAAAGACAGTTGATAACACAGAAGATCGTTTGGAACCTTTCTTTGTTTCAAACAATCAGCAGCTTCACTTGGAATGCTGTGTGATGCAGTGCGATGCGTGACTACATACGTGACTGTCTTGAAAATATATTCCACAGGAAACCCAAACTACAAGTCAAGTTTCAAGTCATTAAAAAAATATTTCAGAACTACACCTTTGTCAAGAAAGAAGAAAAAAACACTACCTAACGTATAAAAAACAAATAAATTATGATTTATTAGCTTTAAATTACTTTTTTATAGAGATTAGAGTATTATTAAAGAGATAAATAAAGGATGTTGGGGTTCCTTTGTGAGAATGGTCTGCTGGAAGACTGCGTCCTACAAAAATAGAAAAATGGCGGGAAACATGGCTGACATTCAGAAAAGGTGAAGTAACTTGATTTTCTTCCTTCAAATTGAAATTATTGATTAAGAGAGATCTAATCTCCTCTTGTCCATGACAATTATTTGTCCTTCACTTGTAAAACATATTTTGCTTTGAGGTGTTTGGCCACACAACACGAATCAAGAGTTTATCTGAATCCAGAGAGTTAACTTAGCAATTGTGTTACTATTGGATTTATTGATCTTAGTAATGTTTGCCTTTAGACGATTAGAGGATGTTCATATATCTGCCAATGCAGCTGGGCTGATGTCATGTGTAGGACCAATTCAGCTTATGCAGTTTTCAGACAGTTGTATGTCAGAGGATTATAAATTGCTTGAATTACCACCAAAGCTACTGGAGAGACTTCAGCAGGGCGAAAGGTAATCACAGTTTGTCAATAGATCATGAATGTGATCATCAATCAATCAATGAATGGTAATAACGGAGATTATAGAATTCATAAAAGAACAACCAAGAGTACAAAAAAATAATAACAAAGCATTTTCTACATTTTATAAAATAATGAATATAAATATCTTGAGTCTCCATTTTTTAATGTTCCAGTTTAGTGATTCGAGGTGACAACCAAGAGGATGCTGTTCTTTGCACTGAAGATAGCACATATGAAATTAAGTTAGCTGACACTTCAAATGCAATGTTACTAACACCATCTTGTCAAGTGTTTAAAGACAATGGTATGATAAGCATATAGAAGCAATATTTCTTCTCTTATAAAATATGATATTGATACAAATATGTGTTTATTTGTTGCTTTCAATTTTTGATATGAATACTATAATTATTTTCAGGTTTCAAAGATCAGAAAAGAGATTTAGTAACGCATCAGGTAATTGTGACTTTTGTGTTTATTCAAGGTGACTGTCGGCAAATTTCTTCAGTTTGTGTTACCTTGACAACTCTTGACAATTACAAAAATATTCTCAACATATTTCTTCAATGAAGGAAAATTTGAATGAATAACTTTATTTGAGTAAAAGTACACTGGAAGTTTTTAACAAAACTTGCCTATTTTGAATTATAGTTTCATCTCACATGAAGATAGCACTTCTTGAAAGATATATATATTTCATTGAAGTTTATGTAATAAGATCCATAAGAATGAAATACTAACTTGTATTAATCAGTCTGTCCTCTTTTTTCAGATATGTAGCTGTCACTCAGAATACTATGAAGTTCGGCCATGTAGACCTAAACTGTATAAAATACGCAGTTTGCTGCAGGAAAGTCAGTACAAGGGACAAGAGTATGAAAATGATGGAAACTTAAAACCAAAGGTATAATAAATTTACACCATTTTCATGCCTCCACAATGCAACATATTTTCTAATGGTTTTAATGTATTTAGTGCTCTCTACAAGATATACTTGATGTTGTACAAGGCAGTGAAAAGGAAATCAAAGAATCGCTTTGTAAAATTGGTGCATTGCAAATGGATGGTGAGTACGATATGCATTACATTACTAGGCAGTGATAAAAGCTTTACTTGTTTTAACACATCAATCTTTTATGCATTTTCTTGAGTAAGTATTTAACTTAAAGTATTCATTGATTTTCTTGAGTTGATTGGCTAACTAAAGTGCGTCATTAGCAGGACATTCACACTAAGCTGGCACAATTACATCTCGATTGATAAAAATGATTTTTGCAAATCCAAATGTGATAAAAAAAACAATTGAAAATTAAAGTATTGATTAATTTTTGTAGGCTTTTGGAGACTTTTAGATGTTGAATATGAAGAAAAGGTGGTTATCAGTATACTTACATTGCTGGAAGAGAAAGACTGGAGCTGGAGAAATATACCCTCTGAGGAATGCTGTGATGTTTTAGAAGAACTGGAGCCACGGTAAATATATCATTTGCAGGCACCACTTAGACTAACCCCTACTGAATTTTGTGTCATGCAATCAATAGAATTTCTGTTTCTGACACATGCTAGTGCCAATACATCATTGACAATCAGAATCCATTGATTTGACTAATTTTCTTTTTTCATTCTATAAGGGAAATCATTGAGCATTGTCTTAATCGCTATGGCGAAAGAATATCAGGAGAAGGTAATTCATGCATAAATTATTTCTTTGTGACAGTTTGAAGTTCTCTACTAAGCAGAAAAACTGAGACCTGTCTGGTTATTAGAGACGACTCATGAAAGAGACAAATACAAATAAATTGCCATTTGTAAAAAGTGACAACTTATAGATTGGCTTCATATTTTTAGCGGAAAGCTTCTTTCCAAGTAACAGTTTATTTATTTATTTTATAGATTTTTCCATGCAAGCCATCACTTAAAAGCACAATATGCAACTCTTTCTTGAATTAATGTCACACTACATGAACAGTGCAGACTGTAAAATTTAAAATTTTCATTCTCAAATTGCACAGTAGAGTTTGTAATGTAATAAGTGTAGCTTGTGCATTCACTATTTTGCAGACCCAAGCTAAGGGTACTTTAGAGAGAAAACACAATATTTAACCCTTCATTCCCATACAGGTCAACCATATTTTGCTCTGGATGAAGAGAAAATTTGCAGATTTTATGCAGAATACTTGTTACGTCCAACAGATAGAGTATGTCATGCATTTTGTATTGCAAGTTATGATTATAACTGCATTGCAATAGTTGTCTTTATTGATGATAAATAGAGGAAGAGAGTTGTAACCGCTGTTGCCAAAACTGCTAAGTTTGCAAGAATTGCAGCTTAGCTAAGGGAATTCTAGTCCAGTAGTTAGCTTTCACATCATTTAAATTTTAACTGCACATATCGTCATGTACCGAATTCTTTCCTTCCTTTCACAGTTCAGTTATGAGGAATTCATGGAGTCATGGCAGCAGAGTGTGCCTGATGGTATGACTACAAAAGAAGAACATCTTGCTGTAAGATTTTCTTATTTTATGATGACCTGCATAGCAACAACTTTTGGTATTTGAGAAAACATGTGTACAGAATCACATGGACTTTTATATTTTAGCAGAAATATTTTTATAGTCAGTTTGGTTCATTAATTCTTGTGGTGTATGAAATCATGAGCTTGATTTGATGAATAGTTTAGTTAGCATTAATAGTATTGTTTTCTTTTCTTTACAGGGCATTGCTCTTGTTGACATGAAGAGTCATCCTCCAGTGGTCATCTATTTTCCACACTATAATCTTCCTGAAAAGCCTGAAACAAGGTTTGTTTGAAATGTATATTTGGTCAACGATATGTTATATTGATGACAATTGTTTTCCTCAGGTTTATTAAGCTATTCAGAACAAGATCAAAGTGGACTTTTGATGAGATACAACCATATATCAAGTAAGCAAAATTGCGATTGTGTTTACAACAACAAAAGCTGAAGGCTCTTTTCACTTCCATAGAGTTTTCAGAAATGTTGGTGTGGCTTGTTTTACATTAAACGTAACACAAGTTGAACTCTCTTTCAACTTGCAAAAGTAAAGAATAAGGAAATATTTGAGAATAAAGCTAAAATTTGAAAAATAGTGAACTTTGAGCAAGTGAAATTAAATTATTAATTCTTCTTCAGGAAGTTTTCAATGCTAATACTTATTTTTATTGCTATAGAAAATTTTTAAACTTCTGCTTGTTTTTCTTGCTTTAGAGATCTTGTTGAATCTGGACAATCACTCAATGCATTACTTCTAAAGTATGCTCGTTCTTCAAAAGATGAATCAGGGAGGAAAGTCTACAACTCTAAGAAGCCTTTATAGGATGATGATGATAAATATGACTAGTAAACCTGTACAATGACATTTATTGAGAAATGCTGAAGAGAAACCAAGAACAATATAATTAAATAGAAGCTAACAGTGGTGTATTTGATTGGCTGCAACTAAGCTTTTTATGAACAGACCAACTTGTCTCCCTCACCGGAATGTGAGGCGAGTGAGAAAAGTAGATCTGTTCACAGAGTAAAAATAGGTGATGATCTTCATGTGATCTGCAGAAAAAAGGATTTTGACCTTTCAGTGCTTTACCTTACAGCCAGTCAAATTTAGATGACTAATTAAACAAATCTTATATTTCATAAGGAAATGCAGGTGTTTTGGCATCTTTCTTCACAAAATATAAGGAAAAAGGACTTTGTACAAAAAGAAATATAGAAACCATGTTATCTACATGTAATTATTACTTAGAAATAAACTTAGGTATCAGATCCAATAGTTATAGTATGTCACGAGTCCCTTTGTTTCCTTTCTACACACTTGATAACTATATACATTTAAAGATTTTGAGTTGATCATTCAATATTTAGAATATTTAAAGTAATTCCTAATTTTCATACAAAATGAAGATACAATCAATGTTGTGGAAATTCACAATTTCAATTAAAATGCTTTTGAAAAGCTAGATCACACTTTCAGTTATGATGAACATATCAAAATATTGAACTGAAACTCGTTCTCACTTTGTTGAATTAAAGTTCTAAAGTTAAAAAACAAAAACAAAACAAAACATATTTACCTATTTGTCTATTTTTTGTACCTTTGCCATGACAACAGGGATATATTCAAATGGCATGAACCGACAACCAAATCATTAAAAACAAGATTTACGTTCTTTTTATATCCTCAATAGCTAAATATTTTGACCAATAATCAGCACTGTATAATTTATTTAAATATAATATTGTGTAATAATTGGACAAGGGCTATCCATCAATTCTCCATGTCCTGAGCATGAGCTGGTAGCCATTTAACATATTTCATTCAAAAGTGCAATTCATTGAGGGATAAAATAGGCAATAAAGCATGATGGGAGTTGTAGTCAAATTGACACTCACTCACACTTTGCACAGGCCCTAAAAATTAAATCTCACTCAAATCTGTTTATTTTTCTTTAGGACTGTTTTAGGGGATATCAAATAGTGTGAGGACTACAACTCCTATCATGCCTTGTTGCACAAAATGGCATCACTGCACACTGCCAATTATTTACTTTTGAAGGAATAACTACTGAAATAATTACAAATGCAAACATATTCTACTTATCATATGGCATGAATAATTACCAAAACCTTAAAAGCTGTTATCAGTCAACTCCAACTGCATAATTTTCCATGCCATACTTAGCCTAAACCAGTTTTGTGATTATTACACCATTGTACCGGAATCATTTCTCCCAAGTACAAGGAAACATTTGAGATTAATTCATTATTTAACTGGTTGATTCATTCACATTAAGGTTTCTTCAATGAAAAACATTTAATTTTAAGATGATCACACAACTCATTTACCTGAAAAACAAAGTAAAACCAATATGAATAAACAATTAAATAGGACAAATTAAATTGAAGACACAGCTGTATTGGTGGTCAAAGAAAAGGTGGGATAACACATCCACTGGGCTCTGAATAGAGCACAATGCTCTTCCAGCCTAAACGGTTTTTTAACATTTAAAATTGGTAACTGATAATAATTTTCCATAGATAGCTAACAAAAAGTGCTCTTATCGTTCTAATTTAAACTAGTATAAGGGCCAACATAGATGTAGCTCAAATGATATACAGGCTAGTTATAAACTAAACATAAACTAGTTATAAATGGCCATAAAAACAATGAAAGTTTTGGGGGATTATAATGTTGTCACAGCTTTTTTTATTATAATTAGCTGTCCAACAAATATTGTCTTAGTTGTAATTAGTATGTGTAATATTGTATGCATATAGTTTTTACATACCACTGATATACCATAGTGAAGATGAGCTACAGCAACTATGACAGTATAAAAAGCTAAGGCAACATATTCTGCACCATCATGCAAGAAAGGCACCAGTAAAACCAATACTATCAGCGGATACAACAAATGGTTAAATCGCTCACACTGCTGATAACACATGGTGCTGACAATAAGACGACACTGAAACAAATTAGAATACAAGTTTTAGACAAGGTGTAGGATTATATAAGCATAAGTACTTATGGGCCTTTCTGATAGAACCGGAATCAATATTTTAATTATGGTCATTGTCATTTACTACGTGTCATTGAACTCTGACAAACTGTAACACTGTCATAAGGCAAGTGTGAATTATATTAATGCTTATTTCCTTACTGTTATGTTAGAATAGACGATACCAACAGCAGTGACAAATAGTTTAGAATGACCATTTAATATATCAGACGGTGAGATCAAACCCCAAACAGTGAACAAGCCAACACATAAAACCAATGGGCAGAATGGCATCAAGCCTTCCGTCACTGATATACCACGACCAGAATTGTTCTTATGGGCTCTAAAAATGCATAAAATCCATGATTATAGAATAGGCAGTGTGCATTAACATAATAATTATAATAATATTATAGAGACTCCAAGTGATGTTAACCACTAAATCAACGTCACATAAATAAGGCTGATTATATATATCCTCAACTAGAATGTAAACCCATTCCAGTTGATTCTACACTTAATAAAAAAAAAATATTTAACTACTAGTAATACAGTATATTAAGATTCTAAAAGCAATGCCACAAATTTTATGTGAGCTTGCAAATGATATTATCCCTCCTCACATTTTAAAAGACTTCTCTTACTTACATATACACAGAATATAAGCACATTGGAGTAGTTAAAAAGATACAAGACCCTACAAAAAAAAAAAAGAAAACTTGCTATTATGTAATAGAGACAAGAGCAGTGTGACAGGGGAATGGGCTGGTTGTGCATTGTATGAAGGAGGAAAGAATAACACTATCCACCAGATACATGTAACTCCTTCCTAGTAAATATAATCTATATAAAATCTAGGGACTAGATAGGTCTGTCCAATTGGCCCCTTGTCCATAGGTCATTACACTGCACCCTACCAGCATAAATACACCTTTGCTCATTCTTTTCTCATTCAACAAAGCTGATAATGATTAAATACTTAAAAAAAGTAGAATAATATAATTCTGAACAATACTATCATGTTTATACTACTACTTATATGTACAAGCCACACTTTGTCAGTAATTCAGTAAATATAATAACATCATACTTTCCTACCATATACAATAATCCTAAAACCATCTGTATACTTGATTCCTAAATATGCCATCTCAGATTTCCAAAATTCAGTACCAAAGGCATAAGTCAGCAAGTAAACTCCAGTAATTGACTGAAAAGATAAAGGTCACACAAAACATTTAATGTCTTGACCTTATTGAAAGCTTTTTTTTAGTTTTGCTTTGATATTTAAGACTTACCAACTGACTGCCATCATAAGCCCAAGGCAAGTTCAACACGCCAGTGTTGTATTTCTCCCAATGAGCAAGGAAAAAACCCAGCAAACAGATGAGATAAATAGCGTAGAATTCCCACACTGTTACACATCCTTTCCCATGACCAAAGACAGAAAACAGACCAATAGTTATCAACCATACAGCAGAACTGTCTAATCCATGGTCAAAGAGCTCACCCAGGGGAGTACTGAAAATCAATGTTCCATGAATTAAGGTAAAGTCCTTTCGTTTCTTTAGACTTTGTACAGTTGAATAAAACCATATGAGAATATTATAATATGTACAAGCACCAATGAAATCACGAGCCCAAGAAAATGTATACTCTTTTTCAGATTTCTGGCACCAGCTTTCATTCATACAAGTTCATAATCATTGCCTGAGGTCTTTCTTTGTTGCACATTTGAGTTGTTGTCAGCTAACAAATCAATCAACTGACTCATCAAATATGCATATAACAAATCAATGATTTTTCTGAGCATTACACTTAGCATTTTCACAAGTTTCCTTTTGTTAATCTTACCTACTATTGGTGCGACGGGCTTGCTTTCCATCAATACCATCTAAAGTATGTGCTAAAAACTGTGCTAAAGCAAAATAAATCCACCAGTTTGGTGGTATGTGATATCCAGTATGTTTTCCTAAGCCAGCCTTGAAGTGTGGATCATAGTAATATGTGACAAGGTAAACAGACACTAGAAATAACCACCCAATGAATGTCATAAGATTTGGAGCAAACCATAAGGGAAAAAACTGAAGAAATGATAGAAAACCAAATCATTAAAATTAATGATAATGATAGTAACTTATTCTAGTTGCTTTGTTTTTTATTGTATAATCAATGTACTATTTACTATAGTACTAATTACTATTTACTAGTAATTAGTACTAATTGTTTCACAAATTAAGTGTGTCCAACTTTGCTTGTTTAATAGTTACTGTGATACTGATAACATTGAATTTTTTTTTCTTTAACAAACAGAGACGATAATAATTTCATGTTCGTTAAGCTTGTAGAAGCATATGCTTCATTTTTGGAACAGAAAATTTATCTTTCAATCATCCCTGCTGTCTCTGCATCTGATAAGCTTAAATGAGATGCATTGCCTTCATTGACCACTTTGTGCAAATTGTATTTAGTCAAGTAAGGTGCAAACAGATGTTAAGTATGTATTGTATTGCAGGCCATATAGCTGTACTTTCTATACTACTGATTCTGTAATTAACCTGTTTTGCATTATTAAATTTCAAGAACATTTCCATGGAAATGAAGAACTTCTCTTGTAATGCAAACAGCCTGAAGGTGCAGGGGAAAGTAAGGGCGTATGCAACCCATAACAAAAAATCGTTATAGAACGTAATATAAACAAAATCAAAATACTCTTCACTATAGAAATAGAGCTTTCCATGGTCAGAAGAGCAAGGAAATCTGCAGAGTACGATCAGGCTTAACTACTAGTAAATTGGGCAACTATTAAGCTCAGTTGCCTTACTCATGCAGCAAAGTTATTGTAGTTTATAACCTTTTACTTACCTTAACGACACGATTCCAAAAGGGATGTGTTAAGTAGTTGGAAATGGGCGAAGTATCAAGTGACTTATACTGCAAATTAATTCAAAAACACTCCCTCAGTCAACTGTTACACAAACCAACGAACAAACTGAAACTGCTGGCGGGGCGTACCTTATAGCGATCAAATCCTGCCAGCTCTTCCCGTCCTAAATAATCCCATTTTACATATGGTTTTAGAAAAGCAGGAATTCCCATAGCTGATAGAAAACCGGAGGCAGAATTCTTAATTTCGCAAGAATTCATATGTCTTCATCAAGAATCACACCACATGTAGTGATGGGCCGATCAAACATCACATTGATCGCGATCTATAACATACTTAGAACCAAGACTGTGATTGGACAAAAGTATTGACACAGGAAGCCCACTAAATTAGTTAGAGACTATGTTTCTTTTTATTAGGCTTTTTCACCTAAAACCAATAAATCTTTATTGACTTGTTATTTTTAGCACCTTAAATCTGCGAAACTGCTCACACTAGATAACTCACATGTGATAATTATGGCAAGATACGCCTTTCTACAAAAGAAGCGGTCGAAAATTGAAATTCCGGATTCGCTTTTCATTTCTTCGGCAATTCAGTATTAAAAAATTAAAAAGGGAACTTTAAAACTGGTCTTTTTGCGATAAAGAATGATAAAAAAAACAAACAAACAGACATTTTATGTCTTTTTTTAATTGCAATTGGGTTACCTGTGGTGCTATTTCGTCCATAATCATGTTAATCAGCGGATAACCCTTCAAAAATAGTTTTCCAACGTGTTTGTGCTATTTTCGAGAGTGCTAAGAAAACTCAGCAGAAATCACATAAATATGGGAGCGTATCTAAATAAACCAAAGACAGAAATAACATCTAATGATTACAGTAACGATTTGATGAGTTGTGGAGCTTCAGCGATGCAAGGATGGAGAGTATCTATGGAGGTAAGAAATTCGCACGTGTCCGGTGGCATATCATACGTGAAAATTCGATATAAGTTAAGCTTATTCATGGGTAAGATCACATTTTATTAAAAACATCGCTAATACGGATTTCCAAAATACAAAATTTTTGATATGTAAAGTTTATTAGATTATTTAGAGTCGATTTTACCATCGGATAGATTCGCTAGATAATATGTGCAAACTGAAATCCTAAATTTTCGCGCTTTTAGTCACCTTTTCTAGTTTTATACAGAAAAAGTGCCTCGTTGTTACTAGTATTCACATGTTTAATTCTGTATGTTAATGAATGGTACAGCTGTTTAAAAGTGTCTGTATAACCTTTGTCATAATTAAACTTATTCAAATCATACATTAAGTGATTTGAAATGTTATTTCAGGATGCCCATACTTGTCTTATGGATTTTGATAGCAGAACCGCTTTGTTTGGTGTATTTGATGGACATGGAGGTAGGGATAGTGATAACTGTAGAATTTTCTATGTTATACGATGCGAGGAATGTTGTGCTACTGCTACTAGTACATGCAATGCAGAGGTCACCTGCATGTACATGTATGCATGTATGTATGATTATTTTGGACCACAAGAGTTCAATTCATTAGATTACAAAACTGTGCAACATAATACCACTAAACACTGCTAAATGATGCTAGAGTGAAGTCAATGAACCCGTGAAATACATATTTCACTATTACATGTTATTACTTGATAATTCCATTGTTTTCTTTTGTGTCTATTTGACTATTACAGTTTAAGTATTTACTTTTATTTCACGGGTTCAATGCCTTCACTCTAATTCTATTGTTTTCTATTGTTTAATTAACACTATTTTGTAGTAAATAGTGGAAAGTGTTGCACACATTTAATGTTTGTACTCTATAGTCTAACAATCAACTTAATGTCATTTGTGGGCAAACTTAAAACTTATAACAGAAAGAGAGTGCTGTGAGTAAGTAAAACACTTTGAGTGTTATATTTAGAATAGCCTCTTATTGTGTATCAGTTTGATGAAGGATGTGTCAAGCAGTGACAGCTAAATACTGACTTCTCAATCTAACTTATCCAAGTAATTTATAACGTGAATTTTGAACTTGTAGGTTCAGAAGTTGCTATCTATGCTCAAAAGCATTTAGCAGAAGTATTAAAGACAACTGATGGGTATAGAAGTGGTAATACCAAGCAGGGCTTGATAGAAGCATTCTTTAAACTTGACGAAGATTTGATTACTGAAGAGGTTGGATATCCCACATACTTCTTGTCTCTGTATTAAAAAGAGAAATTAGTAGCTTTACTTTTGTTTCATAAAAGACTATTGAAAACAATGAGAATACAATGAGTTTTTGATTTTTAGGGTTTGACTGAGCTGAAAGAAATTGCTGGTGATAAAGGAGAAGACAGTGAGAATGAGAATGAAGCAGAGTTACTGGCTGAAGAAGCTAATATGCCATTGATTGAACTATTAGAAAGACTCAAATCAGTAAGATCTACTTTACATTGCAGTAAATATGCTATTTTTCAGCAATTAGAAGTGAAAAAGTTTATGAGCCTTGGTTTCTGGGCAAAGGCAAGGATTAACCTGTAGTAATAATACTTCTGAGACTCAGGGTAGTGTTTCAATATAATGATTGTTGCATACTTGGTCATTCTTGTGTGAAATGTCCTTGGGACTACAGTTAATTAGTATCCTGCTAGTGTCCATCTATACACTGAAGGTTCCATTTCCTAAATTAGTATTTCTTTTTTCCTATAGTATAAATAATTATTGTTATTTTTAAAACTAAAGGCTGCACAAAATCAAATTGAAAGTGGTTCTGATGATGAAGAAGAAGATCAAGAACACGAAAATGGCAATGATAAGGATGATGATGAAAATCATAATCAAGGTATTTGAATATCAATAGGTGTAAGGTGGACAAGAAACCCTTAAAAATGATATGGAAATAGTGCATTATTGTTTTAATTGGTTGAAACTAGCAGTGAACTAGTGTGAGCTGCGTCGGTGTTTCTAAAGAAATATTTGCGTAAAAAGATAAATTTAACAGCATAAAATAAGTAGGAGAAATAACTTACTGACGTTTCGGACGTTAATCCTTCCTTGGAACTATCATTGCTTTATGTTGATATCATTGCATAACATCTAGGTTTTCTCTTTTATTTTTGTACTGTTTATTCCCACAAGAGGGCCTGTCTAAAATAAAATTATTTTAAATGATTATGTCAAATAATGTCATTATGGAATAATGTTAGAAATGTTTGTGTGATTATCTACATTCTTTTTTGCTTGTTTGGAATTATTGGTAATCTGGGAATTGGAAAATGCTTATTTCAATTCTTTAGAAGATGAAAGTCCATCCAAAGAGTCAAAAGAAAATGGCAATGAGTCAGACAGTGCAAAGAATGGCGAAACAAAGGAAGTAGAAGAGAATGATGAAAGTGATAAAGAAGAAGAGGAGGAGGAGGAAGCTGACAAAAATGAGGATAATGAAAAAGGAAACAATGTAGATGATGCACAAGAAGAGGATGAACACAATAATGACGAACCTGAAGATGACAGTGATGATGATGATGACGAAGATGATGATGATGATGACAACTGTCCTCTAATGAAGTCAGATGAGGTATATGTATAGCAAGTGTAACACATGCTTTATGTATACATGCATTTGAGAGATTATACCACATGTTTTATGGCCATGTTTAGCCAGCAAAATGGCATGTTTCGTGAGAAACGGATGTACACAGGCTATTGTTGTCCTTTTTCATTTATTTGTAAATGTGGTGTGCACCTGTTATCAAGAGCAACAATTTTGACCTTTTAATTTGCATATTAAAACCTTCTGCCCTCCACAGTCCAAACAGCTTTTCATTAGGGATTACACAGTGATACTGCCATACATAAAGTATTTAATGATACAATAACTCAGAAATTAATGTTTGCTTTCATGATGTGCTAGGTTGGTTATGACAGTGGAACAACAGCAATTGTTGCATTGGTTAAAGATGATACACTCACTGTAGCAAATGTAGGAGATTCTCGCTGTGTGGTGTGCAGGAATGGCATTGCACTTGAAATGTCAATAGACCACAAACCAGAAGATACTAAAGAGCTTAGTAGAATAGAAAAAGCTGGGGGGAAAGTAACTGGAGAAGGAAGAGTCAATGGTGGACTTAATTTATCAAGAGCTTTAGGTAAAGTTGTGATGTTAGTGACAACTGACAACAAGAATAAATTGGTAGTTTGGGAATGCATGTAATCAATATGTCTAGGAGTCAGTCCCATAACTTCTTGTCAATTGATGTTTTAGGTGATCATAGCTATAAGGGAAGAACAGAGCTTAAGGCAGAAGAACAACAGATTTCAGCAATGCCTGACATTAGACAAACACAACTCACAGAGTAAGAGTTTTTTCTATTTCTATTCATCTAACCATTAATTTATTTGTTCCCTTATTCATTCAACTCTGTATTTTCTTGATGTACATTAGTTATTTCTTTCTTTGCTCATGCTATTGTTTGGTGTTTATCACAGAGCGGATGAGTTTATGGTAATTGCTTGTGATGGAATTTGGTAAGTTATTTGTTATTATACATAATTATATTCCAAAATTCCCCCCGATGAATTGTCATATCTACTAGAATATCTACTAGATGTTTTGTTGTAACAAATGTCTATGCACAAATGGACTATTCATAGCATCCATTTCACTTTCTAGACTAATATTTGTTATGATTAATTCCAAGGAATGTTAAAAACAGCCAAGAAGTAGTTGATTTTGTGAGAAAAGAATTAAAAGAGCAAAGGTTAAAGGATGACAAAGTCAACTTATCAGCCATTTGTGAGAAGGTATGGAAATATGAATATAAGTCAAGAAGATTGATATCATTGATGAAACTGTGTCATCTAAAGCCCAAGTAAAGAAACATGTCATGTCATTGTAACCAAAGTGGTCATTAGTAAATAAGACGATGTTTTTGTTAGAATTTTAGCGTAAAAATATGCACATAAGTAACGATGTTATCGATTCATGTATGTCCTATTTTTCAGATGTTCAAAGAATGCTTGGCTCCAGACACTAGTGGAGATGGATCAGGATGTGATAATATGTCTTGCTTGATTGTGACTTTTGACAGCATCAAAGCACGTCTCTCAGGAAAAAGAAAGTCCCAGGACAGCAGTGACAATCCTAATCCAGACAAGAAATCACGCACAAGTCAAGATTAAGATGCTCTTGCTGTGGCTGCCCTTTTAACATTCGCGCGCATCTCCTACCTGGATCCCCATGTTTAAGTCTGGTCGAGGAGGGCATGGGCATTTGGAAGGTCAATTAGATCTATACTCTAGAGAACATAGTAGAAAGAAAAGATCATTGTTCTGCCAATGAGTTCGCAGGTCGAATCACATTCATCCACAATTATTTTATTTTATTCGAACAGTTCATTTTGAAAGTTTTTAAGTTTCTCAAGTGTGCCAGACGAAATGCAACTACACTGTAAAATCCAGTTCATCTGTCAATATAAACGCACAATACTGTTAGGCAACGTTTCCATTCGTGCGAAAAGCAACGTCGTACAGTAAATGTACTGCATTTTATTATACGTTTTTTTAAACCTGTTGATAAATATCTGTACGCTGTTTTGTAATGTCTGTAATTTATTTTCCTAAATAATGAATTTTAATATTATTTTATTGATTTAAACTGATGTACTTGTATAGAGTCCTGTGGAAATTGTAATTTATATAATAAAACGCCATCTTGGTATAAAATCTCTTGTAGTTTGCGATGTCGCTTTGATACCAGGTTCCCTTGTGTACTATTTGTTCGGGATGACACAGATAACGCAATACTTTAAAATCGGTGGAAACTAGCGGTAAAGTAGTGCGAGCAGCGTCGGTGTTTCTAGGTGAAACATTAAATCCTTCGTCGGAGTAAAAAGACGAAGGATTAATGTCTGAAACGTAAGTAAGTTGTTTTACCTGCTTTTTTACACAATAACTAAACGGTCGCAATGAAGACTAAAACAGAATAATAGAGATTTTTGTCTAAGATTCGGGATTTCCCATATGGTATTTATAGCGAAACTAAAAACATGGCTTGTTTCCCAAAAGTTTTTTTCCGTTTTAAAATACTCGAGACCGATCAATGTTTTAATATGTAGTATTATCGCAACTGTTTCAAGTCAAGCAAACGCTGTGTGGTTCACTCTAACGCAGCGTTTATATATTTCTCGGACGAGATAAGCTTATGTCCACTAATTTATAATTCTTCCAAAAAAACGTCACGCTCTACGGTCTGTTAAGGTTGAAGTCAGTCAGCCGGTTATCATAAATTTGCTATTGTTTTCTGAAGCCAATCAAACCACAGTTAGTAGATGATCAAACATATGCATAACCAGGGACGTCCCTGGCATAACAAAGGCTGCACATGGATAATAAAAAGGCCGCGTGTAAATATCAACACGTCGCTTCATACCTGTAACACTCGAGAAATAGTCTTTAACTCCTAGTCTGTAAATTCAGTTGATGTGAAATGCCTTGAGTATGGAGACTTCAAAGTAATTTTAAAGACATTTTTGATAATAATTTGAGGTGTAGTACAGATCGAATTGGCAACGCTGACCCAGTCAATCTTTAATGAAATTATTGAATTTTTTCAATTGTATAAACTGTGACTTGTCTCTATCGCAAAAAATTAATGTTAGATAAGTCTTATCAAATCCAACCGACCGAAAGAGATTGTTTTTAGCTCTCTGATCAATTTTAGATGACCTCTCAGTCTGAGCATGTCATTGAAACGGTGTTCAATTTCATCACCAGGCCACTAGTGTCATACACGGCTGCACCTAACATCCCACATTTGAGCGCACATTGCATTCGAACTGCACCTCTGGGCGCTTTGTGACCTTCACTCTGGTTTCCCTTCAGATCGCATAAATCTTTCGCCTTTTACTAAAGATTTCCGTGGAGGGGAACAACACAATGAGTCTATAGACCAATTTTTTGTTGCCCTGCCTTAGTGGCGGGGCGAATCTTCCAAACATAAACAAAAATGCAATCTAAGATTAGAAGATAAAATACTTTGATTATATAGATTTCGACAAAATAGGAGCTCAAAAGAGGCGAAAGAAGAAACAGTATTTATTTCTGCAAGCTTTTACGTCTTTGCAAATTGTACAGACTATAATTAAAGAGGAACCAAATAACGATGGAAAAATATGTTCCCGTTAGTAGTTTAAAAATGTATTTATGTCAGAAAAGGGAGATGTTTGCGCACAGGTAACCCAACGAGCAGTCGATTTCTGTCTCGTTTAAAAACAAAAACCAAAAAATAAACTAAATTTCAGTGACAATTCAGTGACATACTTGGCCGTATCTTCAGAAAAGAATCTTATTCTAATAATTCTATGTTTTAATCATGACTTTGAGCGGGTCTCCTGCGTTAGATTTTGAACTTTGACTCTCAATGTTATCTGTTATGAAATTATTGAAGTTTTTCAATTGTANTTTTTGTCTAAGATTCGGGATTTCCCATATGGTATTTATAGCGAAACTAAAAACATGGCTTGTTTCCCAAAAGTTTTTTTCCGTTTTAAAATACTCGAGACCGATCAATGTTTTAATATGTAGTATTATCGCAACTGTTTCAAGTCAAGCAAACGCTGTGTGGTTCACTCTAACGCAGCGTTTATATATTTCTCGGACGAGATAAGCTTATGTCCACTAATTTATAATTCTTCCAAAAAAACGTCACGCTCTACGGTCTGTTAAGGTTGAAGTCAGTCAGCCGGTTATCATAAATTTGCTATTGTTTTCTGAAGCCAATCAAACCACAGTTAGTAGATGATCAAACATATGCATAACCAGGGACGTCCCTGGCATAACAAAGGCTGCACATGGATAATAAAAAGGCCGCGTGTAAATATCAACACGTCGCTTCATACCTGTAACACTCGAGAAATAGTCTTTAACTCCTAGTCTGTAAATTCAGTTGATGTGAAATGCCTTGAGTATGGAGACTTCAAAGTAATTTTAAAGACATTTTTGATAATAATTTGAGGTGTAGTACAGATCGAATTGGCAACGCTGACCCAGTCAATCTTTAATGAAATTATTGAATTTTTTCAATTGTATAAACTGTGACTTGTCTCTATCGCAAAAAATTAATGTTAGATAAGTCTTATCAAATCCAACCGACCGAAAGAGATTGTTTTTAGCTCTCTGATCAATTTTAGATGACCTCTCAGTCTGAGCATGTCATTGAAACGGTGTTCAATTTCATCACCAGGCCACTAGTGTCATACACGGCTGCACCTAACATCCCACATTTGAGCGCACATTGCATTCGAACTGCACCTCTGGGCGCTTTGTGAACTTCACTCTGGTTTCCCTTCAGATCGCATAAATCTTTCGCCTTTTACTAAAGATTTCCGTGGAGGGGAACAACATAATGAGTCTATAGACCAATTTTTTGTTGCCCTGTCTTATTGACGGGGCGAAACTTCCAAAAATAAAAATAAATGCCGAGTAATATAAAATACTTGACGACATAAATATCCAATTGATGCCAAAACTGAATCAGTATGTACTATAATCTTGAAAATGGCTGCTTAGGCCGAAAGCTTGGTTAAAATAAATCAATTTTACTCAACAAGTGTCAATAATGAAATAGTTATTTTTCACGAAAATAACTTTTCAAAAGAGAGAAAAATAAGTAATATTCGAGTAAAAGTATTTTACGACATATTTGCTTTGACATATAATTATATGATAAACAAAATCTTACATGGTCACTTGGAGTACGTACATTCATTCGTGAGAGATCAACACACGAAGATAAAATGCGTATCCTCTATTTTTTTCGGATCATCTCTATGTTTAATCTTGAGTTAGAGCGGGCCTCCTGTGTTACATTTCAAGATGGCGAACTGCAATCACAGCAGTCTCAATCGGCCGTGGCTGATCACTTCGAAGTAATTTTGACCTTTTTTGACATCTGAATATGGTAAGGATACAAAGCACTATTGTTTCTTGTGTGAGATTTGACATTTTGTGTCTAAACCGTCTACACTGAATGCGAAGTGCAGCAGGGAGTTTGTATCGATTTGTACAATAATATTGCTTTTAGATGCTGATTCGTCTGGTGTATGTTTGATGTCTGACATACATTTTGACAACTGTTGACTTGACCTCTACCCATGAAATCGCTTGGTACATAAACATACCACCAAACAACATGGCGGGAGACGGTTACGAGCTTTCTATACAGGACCCCGACACTCCTCAGTCATCTACTGAAAAACCCTCTAAACTTGTCATAGGTATTGCTGCATTATTCCTGTTGGTTGGAATTGCCGTTTTGATTGCAGGAGTCGTCATGTTAGGCAAAAAATCTTCGGAGGCGCCTTGTACAGTTTGGGACGCTGATAAGACCGACCAAAGTTGCATGTTCTCTGATGAAGCTGAGCGCGTGGACTTGCAAGGGTTTTTGTCTCGTCTGAAAGACGCTTACTTTGAGTACTCTCCTCATTTAGTGGCATGGAAGCCAGACCTTGTTGGCAAAGAGCTGACTGAATATGTCAAGCAAAGGTACATATTGAACTAGTAATTTTCTCTTCGGCTTAGCTTTCGTAGTGACAAAACTATTCGGCTTCTCCTGGTTTCACAGGCAATCCCGTTGGTTTCATCGTCTTGTTCTTCTCTTTAAAAATGCTTTTGCACTGCCAGAAAGCCTTGCTCGTGTCAGGCGACACCAAAAGCTATTCCTATTCCACACAAAACCTTACCCAGATCTGTCAGACTTCCGAGATATATTCTCGACTCAATTATATACCATAAATGTGACCCATAGAAGACTTATAGACATTGTGGTGTCATGTACATGTTTATAAGAGTTCAAAACATTGTTGCCCGTGGTATTGTCACATAGCTGACATAGTGTAATGCCCTAGCCTCCCCCGCAGGCATCTATCACTCAGATGTCTGGGGATGTTTTTAGGAAAGTTAGCTGCGGAGGAGGCTACTGTTATTCCTCGCGCAAAACAGTCTACTCTTATCCATTTTCAAAATGTCCGACTGCATTTGTATTTTTGTGGGTCGAAAGGGAGTCAAAGGAGGACTGTGTAGGTTTATCGCCGGTATTCAATCGTTTTTTTTTTCTGCTGTTTTTGTTCGATTGAAAGAGAAAATGAATTTGAAAATTAATTCTGTAATTGACCACGTGCGAAGGAAATGCTCCCGATTCAGGAAATATTACTGAGTTTTCCATTTGTTTTGGGCTTGAACGATATGCTAGGAGCCTCAGAATAGGACTTTGTCTCTTTCAATGCGAGCGACCGCTATTTTAGAAAACAGACTCGCTTGCGTTACGTAGAGAACAAAAGAATGCACGAAAAAAATGTTGTAAAATGTGCCTGTATTCCCAATAGACCTAGAGTTTGAGCCTTCTGGGAATTCAGAGAAAAATATCGGAGAAAATGCAAATTTGTAGGACTATTGTAATGACAACATTTTTTCGTGCTTTCTTTGGTTTTGGTAAATCTTTCGCATGGGAGACTGTTGTCAACTTAATTAAAGAAGCGGTTGCTCGCTTTACCGGGAGGCGTATTATCTGTCTAAATGATATTTATTGGTTTACTACTTGCAGCTACCAACCATACGATCCACACCCAGATAAACTGAAAGCAAAAACCGACAAATCCCTTGCCTTACTTAAAGAAATCACCGATTTGAAGATGAACAAAGATTTAATGACACCGAGAGAAAACAAGGCTATCGCTCAGGTATTTTAGTTTTTCTCAGTTGTATGATTTCATCCCGTATTTTGTGAGATCATTTCTATTTGTTTTTTTCATTGTAAGATTCTTCTATCATATAGTATACTCGTTTGTTCGCATTTCAGCTCGATTTGTTCTTACATTGTGTTAGCTTTCACCATGATGAATACAGTTCTCTAATGTTTGTTCGCTGTTTGCTCTGTTTTCATATTACACTTTAGAGCTCTTGACTTTTACAGTTTTTTTTAATGAAAACCTAAAACAAACAAATAATAAATATTAATGACACTCCTTGAGCGTGTTCAGTCAAATAATAATATTAATGAACTTCTATATTTCCAAAGGCAATACATTTTCTTCAGCACTGTTTCGATGTCCCGTATGACGAGAACTTCTATAATGGTGATTGGATGCTTGGACCAAACTATTTCTGTTGGCAACCAATATGCCAGATTCATCACTCGCTTAACGCATACGGTACATCGGCTGCGCCGCATACCTTCGATGACGTCAAACGTGTCATAGAGACCATCCGTAACCATAGCAACATTTTTTCTCGCTACAGGTCAGTTATTACTTGTTTAATGAATTGCGCACTCAGAATTAAGTCATAAGAACAGGCAACGATCTGCATCAAAGCATGATGGGAGATGTAGTCATCGCATATGCTCGTTTAATCACTAAAATATGAATTCTTTATGAGGAATTTGGTAAATAAAACAAAAACTGATTTGGGTTATTGTGCGAGGACTGCATTCCCATCATGCTTAAGTATATTACCACAGGGAGCCCAGTTTGTTCCAGGTAAAAATGGTACTCCATAAAAACTAAGCCAGCTCGTCTGCAAACCGTGGTATATACTATGTCGATATTCATGTCCTTCAGGCAAAACATGGAACTTGGCGTCAAAGCAGGAATGGTTCGATCTGCAACAGACTGTCAATCAAGCGTATATGCGTTTAAAAATAACTACGGCAAGCTGGCTATAAAAAACGAGTCGTCTGCTGTTTTAGACGAAGAGTACGTCCAAGTATTCCTTGAGCCACGTTTTCTGGTTGAGCTAAATAAAGGTGTTTCAGAGCAGTGGGAGAAGGATAAAGGGAGGAGTATCCAAGATTCCTTGCGGTCAGCACTGATTGAAGGGTTTGGCAAACCTCTCCTTGAATTAATAGCGTATCTCGAGTTCAAACATATAAGGTAGGTTTTATCATACTCGATTATTTATCATGTAAGACGAATTTAAATTCCAAGAAGAAGCAGTATTATTGTGCTAAACATTTTAGAAAACATTTGCTATTTTCATCTGTTATGAAATGGATGCTAATACAATAGCCGATTTGCGAATTTCGCTCCAGTTGTCAAACGCAAAAGAATCAAGACGAGGCGCCGTGCGTAAAGCTCAGTCAATTGTGAAAAACTATTGTCTTTTCACGAATGACTGAGCTTTATGCACAGCGCCTCGTCTTGAATCCTTTGTGTGTGACTACTGAGTCAAAACTCGCAAGTGGGCTATTTACTAAGCTCTGATTCCATTTGTTTTCTTTGGTCATTTGTCTAAGACAAATGCCAATGCTTTTTGTTTCATGGATTTTAATGTTCTCTGACTCTATATAAACTCCCTAATTAGGCATTGCCCGCCAGACAGTGTAGCCAGCGGTCTGAGTGATCTTCCTTTGGATTACGTGTACGTAGATGGTGACCCGGATGTGAATCAGAAGACTACAAAAACCCTACCGGGTACTGGTAAACGGCTCGATGGCAAGGAAACCTATCGTGTGATTATGTCGTATTTTACTACTTCTGATATCACACCTGAACAAGTCTACAAAGAAGGTTTGAAACAACTGAACATTTTTATGCCACAAGTAAGTATCTCCGACATATAATAGTCTAAGATTCACTTATTTCACCATAGGTCGCTAACTAGCTTTTGATAAAGAAAAGAACAAATGCGCACGCTATTATGTTATCGACGCGCGCTCTTAGAAAAATGTGGATTACCTGTGGTATTACGTCATACATGATCCCATGGGATCAAAAACTAGTCTGCGTTTTTCGGCGAAAAAGGAGCAAAATTGGATTTGTCACTTGACCAGTGTTTCATACCTTGTCACGGACTAGTTTTTGATCCCACGAGGCAAGGGAGCAATGTAATACCACACAGGTAACCTGCATTTTGCTAAGACCGCGCGCCGATTAATTGCATAAAAGCGTGCGCATTCGTTCTTTTCTTTCTCTCAAGAAACAATTGGGCGGACTATGATTTCACTAGCGCAGGAAGCGGAACTACACACTTGTGAAAACCATTGACCAGAGACCGGCCGGTTGTAGCGGAAAAGGAAGCGGTCAATGAAGAAGAATGAGATAATGAAAACCTTCTGCGCTCTTTAGCACTTTCGTCTCCGCTGTTATTGGCCACTAGCAAAAATTGGTCCTTCGTGTTTCTGTTAAAACTGTTTCTGATCTTTACTTTAGGTCATAGACATAGCCAAACAAATCACTAAAAACCCAAATGAGACCGATGCAATTGAGGAGTTTCAAAAAACTCTCAACGATCGCCCACAGTGGCACAACAAGGAACAGTTTCCTGAAAACGAGAGTAATTCCGACGCGTACAAGAAATGTATTGATGCTCAATCAGCTCAGAAATACTGTCCAAAGCGCTGGGCTGCCGTGCAAGATTGGGGGAGATACATTGAATTTGTGATGTCACATATTTCACCAAAACTCGCCAACTTGTTTTATTTTGCTGGAGCCAAAAGAACAACGGGAAATTGCCCAATAGAAATGCAGCCACACTACAACCCGTCAAACGGCGCCATGTACTTCCAACCCAGTGACTCGGAATGTAGTCAACCGAGCTATTTTGGTTTACCATTCTTCTTAAAAGAATATGGACCAAAGTTTCAAGAGTGGTCCGTGACAGGTCATGAAGCTCGACCTGGACATCATACACAGATGCAAGGTGAGTCTATACCATCGAATTCTAGATTATAACTGACAATTTTGAACGATTTGGCACAGCCAAATTCATTTAACATTGATTATTTAAGTTATTTTGTAATTATCAGATTTTGTTCTATCAAAAGTAATGTATCGCAATTTACTCATTTTGTACAGATTTTAAATTGCTTCCAGATTCGCCGAAAAAGTCTTCTTTCTTTCTCTTTTTGTTTAACCAATTAAGATGAGCACACCTTTTTGACCTTTCTTTTACTTTCACCCAAACTTTACAACATATGTTACACTTAATAAGCAAGCATCTTTCGTTTATTCCCAGGATCATTAGAAAATTTTCGAGGTTCGTGCAAAGGCCTTCCTGAATGGCTCGATAAACAAACCTACTACATTGCCTTCCAAGAAGGATGGGCGCTATATGGCGAAAACCCCATATTATCACACGATACAGACTTGTATAAAAGTAACTTATTACAGAAATATGGTATGCTAAAATGGCAGGTAAGTGGCAGGGCTTTTGGGATGCATGGAAGGGTTTTTTAATTTTATTTTCCGCTTAATTCTTATGATTTCACCTCCATGAAGTAAATTCTGGAACCGTTTCTGCATTATTCAGAGTACACTCAACTCTTGCTATTACGGACACCCTCGGGACCGTATTTTACTGTCCGCAATATCAAGTTGTCCGTTGTAGCGGGGTGTCCGTAAGGAGAGAGTTGACTGTGGCTGGGCTGCCTGCTAGCAAGACCAAGTAAAGTTAATAGCATATATTAACTATGGGCCAAGAGACTAGCAGGAGAAAACCGGTCAATTGATTAAAAATAAACGAACATTGAATCTTTTAACATTTGACTCACAAAACAATATAAACTGAAGGAAAAAAGATAGCAAGAAGAAAAAAAAGTAAGAAAAAAAAATTGTAAAAGGTGACTCGATCCGGTCACCCATCCACACGTCTCTATCTCCGGGGGAGATAGAGACGAACTCCAAGTCATTAGCCGGTGTCTGGCGGCCTGTACACTAGATTAACATGTGATTCTAAAAAGAGGAAATTCTAGAATTTATATTGTCTGCGCTATTTTCGAAATCTAATAGTTCCCTCGTTGTTTCACCCTATATATCCCTTTATTTCGTGGACGTTTGATGGCAAGGATTTTGACGTTTAATGAGATCTGTTATACGGCTGGGAAAAATGAAATATAAATATAGTATATAGATGTATTAAATATAAACGTTTTTTTCCTGTGATGCCTAAAGGCTAAATGAACTGGGAATTTCTCTAGTAAGACTTAAGAAATGAGAAGTTAAAATAAGATTAAGTTATTGTACAACTCGACAAGAAACATAAATAAGCCAAGTTTTGGTTTTTCACATGTTTTATTATAGATATCATCAAACTTAATTATGTTTTTATTCCTTGACTATTATATATTTTCACTTCATTAAAATAGAGGATATTACACGGGTGCTCGGAGATACGGATTTTATCTTCAAGTCACTTCCACAAATAAGAAACCTCGAATGTGTTATTTTCACTAGAGATACGAATTTTATCTTCTCGTGTTGAAAATCTCTCACCCGTTCGCTACGCTCACTCGTGAGAGATTTTTTTTAACACTCGAAGATAAAATCCGTATCTCCGTGCGCCCATGTAATATCCTCTATTTATGTAATTGTGATCCGTCCCGTAATACACACACGACGAACGCATAATATACAATATGGCTGAGAGACAGAAGATTGAAACAGGGCAAGCCCCAAGCTAGTAGATCAAAAACCATTCTCTTTGAAACGCCGGATATCAGAGTTCCGCTATTAGCTGTTACTTTATTTTTATTGATATTATTTTTGCACGGCACGGTGCATCTGGAAAACCGTCTGATGAGGGATGAGTCATTAGACTTTCGGGGGGTTAATAGGGTTGCTCATATATATTACAATATTACTAAGTATTGACTATGTACAGCCTTTTGCAAAAATTATGAGAATTGTTGAAATATCTAAATATCATAATATCAAGTGCATGATCCCGCGCGATGCCCTTAGTCCCTTGTCTTTGTTGTTTAGTTTTTTTTGGCAACGGACTTATCCGTAGTTCTGAATATTTTCTCGATGTCAACAATGAATTATTCTAGCAAACCCGTGTGTTTCGGACAATATGTGGATATGGATATTATGATATTTAGATATTTAGACAATTCTCATAATTTTTGCAAAAGGCTGTATATACAGCAATATGCAGAAATTATGTTTTTTTTTGCTCATATTTCAAGTATATATAAAATATATCAGAAATTATGGGATATCATTCATTGCCAATATTTTTTCAGAAAGTACTAGTGCTAGGCAACTTCAAAAAAAATATGGACGGATGATATCCCATAATTTCTGATATATTTTATATACTTTGAATACAGCCTTTTGCAAAAATTATGAGAATTGTCTAAATATCTAAATATCATAATATCCATATCCATATATTGTCCGGAACACGCGGGTTTGCTAGAATAATTCATTGTTGGCATCGAGAAAATGTTCATAACTACGGATAAGTACGTCGCCAAAAAAAAAACTAAACTACAAAGACATGGGACTAAGTGCATCGCCAGGGATTACCCATCATGCGCTTGATATTGTGATATTTAGATATTTCAACAATTCTCATAAGTTTTGCAAAAGGCTGTATAAGTCAAAATGATAATAATTTCTGCATATTGCTGTATATTACTGTTTAGATTCATTAAACATTACGCAATTTTTGCCGTTTATTCCCCTTATGGATTGAAATGTCCACAAAATGATTCCTTCAATTTTTTTTCAATACTACGATCTAAAAGCCTTAATGATAAACTGTGCAATTTGCGTCTTATCAGTGATATTCTTTCTGGAACTTTTGCTACGCAAGATATTTTTTAAAAGTGATGTTTCAGGATGTGCTTTTTACCCCACTCAAATGGCTCATCCTTGGTTTTGTCTGTCTCAATTACAACTTAGGCTTTTACATGCAGGTTTTCCTGGTATCAATTAAACCGACTTTGGGTTATTGAGGAAGTGTCGCGGTAAGGGACGTTATTCCACTAGGTGCCCTAATGCACCTAACGACTTGAAGTAAGTCAAGTAACACCGCCCGTTGTTTATTGATTCTGTGCATATCCGCCATTCACCAGGATCATCAATAATGACAAATCCATTAGACTATACAGATTAATATCTGTTAAACTGGGACAAAACATCAAATGTTGTTTTGAAAATATTTCTTTCTCACCGTATTTCAATCCAGGAAGCATTTTTTCAAAACATGTTCAGTATTACATCAATATGTATCATTATTGTCAAATCTTTGACCGTGAGTGCGCGATCTTTTTTTCCAGGTGTAGAAATCATTTATTAGATCTAGTTTATTATCACTTATTTTTAAAATAGCTTTTGTGTCATATGCGTTTTTGTACTCCAACCTCCGGTTAATCTTAATTGCAACTTAATATGTCGGCTTGGTTGAACTACATTGGTATAGTAAAAATAAAGACTAATTGTCTTTCCACCATCTAGAGAACTCATACAGCCAATAAACTATGATAATAACAATTTGTTGATTGAAAGTCGGCTTATACAAAGAAAAAGTCAAAGTAAATCCAATGAGAAGAGAATTAAAGAGTAAGTTAAGTGGCAAGGAAAATATATTATCGTATTAACGAGGCTTTGAAAATAAATCGTCAAAGCGTTTTTTATATACATTTTTGTCAATTTTTTTTAGGAAAGAGACTGATATAAATTTTCCTTTGTTTTTTTTTTTCTGTTTCTTGTTTTTATAATATTGTCGTTATTTTTATAATATTTTTATTGTTTGTCGGTCACTTTTTACTATTCATCATTCATTCACTCATCCCTTTTTCTCTATAATTTCGTCATTTATAGGCACCATATTTCAAAAGAGGTTGTCCGATAAAATGGCGAATGGCAATACTTCAGTTTCGAGATCTTATTTGTGCAGCCTTAACATCGAAAGCATGTAATATATTCTTTTATTCTCCATTTCTATGAAAGGTGAAAACAGTGTAACCATAGTCCCTTCGACAATCGCCGTTTGCCATTCTCCCCTACAATGTTTTTTGTCATTAGGCGTACTAAACATCTACCTTCCATTCATCCATCCATCCCTTCATCCATCCACTTATTTATTCAATATATAAACGTTCTTGACACAGTTTCACAGTGAGTACTGTAATCAATAAACTAAAACACATAAACATTGATTCACGCTTGTTGAGATTCAATTCTTTGTCAGGTCTTTTATTAGTTCACTGTCCTTGATGTCAATATGTTCTTTATGTAATACACACTATTTTATCCTATTTCATGCTTTTATTATTATCCTTGTTTACATAACTCATGACATATGTGATTTTAAAGGATTTTGTCTTTTTAAATTTGATTGAAAATTAATACGCTTGTGTGTGCAGCTGAGACAATAGGAGATGACATTGAATGGAAAGGAAAAGATGGCACACAAAAAACAATTACATAAATGTCATCTTTAATCTGTGGGATTTGCTTAAAATATCACTTTTATGTTCCATGTTTGATGTGTTCTTGTTGTCGTCGCCCGGATGAGAGCAACAAGATTTACTTATGAGACAATCTTTAAACAGAAGAAAGAGGAAACTTTATGTCATTCTATTCTATTCATCGATTTTGGTTCAACATTTCTGCGCAAGTTGTCAAAGGTTTAATCTTAATTGTTTTGATTTTGATTTTCTTCGTCAAGAAATTAATCCAATTGTTTTATGACCTTTAGTTCTCATTTCGTTTCAAAATAATTATTTACCTTTAAGATCCAATATTTCGTTTTTCAATTAATTATTCTCACTTTTTCCCCTAATTTCTCTTTCTTGTTTTTATAGTCGTGTTATTGCTGTTTTAACGGGTATTTTTACTTGCTTTACACTTTTAAAGCCGTTTTCGCTTTATGAGTCTCTGGTCGCAGACTTTCTCGTGACGGAGTCGGCTGCAAAGTGAATACTTTTTTATGTTAGGCTCAAATGTCAAAAGCTCTGCAGCTAGCAGTAAACGTGTTAAGTTACTGTACCATTTTATTATTTCATATATGTTCTTTTCTATTGTCTTCAAATCCCATTTTTGTTCTTTTTCCTTGGTTTGACTAAACTGATATTCGTTAATTCTTTTATAAGCTGGATTAGTCGTCGAGATTACTCCAGAAACTGCCATTAATGCACCTAAGCCTTTATATTTGTTCTCCTTTTGCTTGCGGACCTTTACTTAGTACAGAACATTGTGGACCTTTGCAATTCCTGAATTCTGATTGGCTATGTTACTCAGAGTACTATTGTTCATGTCCCTAGAGTATCACAAGTTTGAAATCACAGAATCGACTAGTTACTATTATTAAAGTAATAGCCATTTGATAAATCTTATTTTGTGACTATTTTAGACTAGTGCACTAGTTCAATGCACTAGTTCAACTAGTTGAAATGCTTCGTTGTTTGATTGATATTTGATTTCCTTAGGCTTTTTTACTAAATGACACCTTTTTGTTTTTTGATTTTTCATATATTTAATTTGTGGTTTTCACTTTGGGTACATGGAAAATTTCAATGTTATCCAATACGACAATCTCTCTTTATGGCGTACATTTTATTTAGAAACAAAGCACTACATCATAACCACGCAGCTTCTTGATTGTAATTTTGAAGGTTATTTAGTTTTTCAGACGTCTTAGTTGGTCTTATATAACTGTATAGTAATTATAAAACATCGAATGTCAAACAGCAATCAAAAATGCATCTTTAAACTGCTTTTCCTATAGCTTCCTCTAATCATGTCATGTCCTAATTTTCAATTAATTACGTGGAACTATCTTCAGTTTTTCATTTCTGATCTGTTTATAAGCTTAACACACGCCGATAGCCGATAACATCAATCTATGGTAATTTTTATATCATTCACAGTTTTGAAATGAATGCTATAGAGGTAGTGGGATTTTTTAATTAATACTGACGTTTAAATGTCGTGTGCTGTACTGATATTCTTAAGAGCTCTTAACACGTCTTTATACACGGAAAACCTTTTTTCCAATGAATATACATAGTTCAAAGCAATTTCTCCTCGTTAGCAATATATGCACAAATAAACTATATAAATTAAGTGTTATACTGCGCAAATACTTTTGAAAGGGTTGATAAAGTGAATGATAAATAGAAAAACATTTGAGGCTTCTTATAGTTGTTATTTTTAATTAAAAGATGTTTAACAATAGGTTTTTTTATCGCCGCCATTGTTTGGCGCGGCTCTTGAGATTGCCTTTAAAAAGCTCAAGGCCTTTTGGCAGTGTTTTCCAAGATAATATAATCACCGTTCATATCCACTATGAATATTCATCTATGTTAATAAGTGCTAATGGTTTTGATATATGGGATGTATGGATTATTTAGCTCAGAAACTCACGGATGCCAGAATTACTGAGCAAATTGTCCGGCAGGTCTGACGTCACATCGATCACATCGGGCTCATTTGAGAGTCGAGAAGTGGTGTCAAATAGTCTGCTAAACGTACGCGCGTGGGTTGGTTGTAGCTGGACGCAAGGCTCTCAAACAGTCTATCATTCAGTCCAACATTTCAACAAGTCTAGTCATGGATATCGCTAATATTGCTTTATTGATAATGTCATGTGTCGTTGTTCTGGCTAACGGTGTAGTTTGCGGGTTGGTGGCGACGAGAAGAAAGCTTCGTACTTTCACAAACGGTTTTGTGGTATCGCTGGCAATTTCGGACATTTTGAGCGGCGGGGTTTTTATGCCTACTTCTGTGTTGGTACCAGGATCAAGGGTTAACAATCATGTATCGATGGTTGTTATTGTGTCAAGTACTCTCAATTTGAGTGCTGTCGCGTTTGAAAGATATCTAGCAGTCGTAAAGCCACTCTCTTATAAAATGGTCATCAAACATTGGTTTCGTCGACTTGTGGGTTTAGTGTGGGGTGTTGCCATCTTCATGTCTGTGTTACCCGCTTTTTGGGATGCAAATGTCGAGTCCCTAATCCATAAGGTGTACCTGTCATGCGCGGTAATCTTGTTCCTTGTTCTTCCTCTGGTTTTCATTTTGTTTGTGTACACTTTTATCTTTATAAAGTTACGCCAACATGGAAAACTACTGCACAACCTACATGCTACAAGAACTCGTCTTGCAGAGGCAAGGAGAAGCAAACGCGAGTCAAAAACTGTGAAAATTTTTTTTTCGATCATGGCTCTGTTTGCATTTTGTTGGATCCCCGTGATGTACATGACCTTTACAGTTGTGGCAAACAGGCTTGACTTGATTCCACCTTACCTTATGCTGGTTTCCCACGTTAGTATCATGCTATCCTCCCTAATCAACCCCTTTCTTTACACCTTCATGAAACAAGACTTCAGAAGAGAGGCAACTTCTTTATTTTGCAAAAAGCTCGTACAACGAAGGGAAAGCAGTAAGAGAGGTATCGATGAAAACTCTGAAACTCAAGTTGTTTACACGAAGGCTCCTTTGGTAACTATCCATAATGACACTGACAGTGAGAACCGTGTCTAATGTAGAGTAATATCCATATTCAGGGCATATGGCATAATACACCACGGGTGGTTTGAAATACTGGTTACTGAATGAGACGATAATGGACTCTTTTATTATTCATTGGCGTCTACAGGCAACCAACAAACCGATTTCTGAGGGTTGACATAATTATACTGAGCATGAATATCCTAGTGTAACTCTAAACAAAACATAGAAAGCAACTGAAAACTTCCGCTTTCAATCGCATGTGTATTTTGTTGACTTTTTTAATGGAATTATTCACTGTCCGATTTGAAGGGAAACTTTCTGGCTGCAAGATATGAAAAAATGATGTAGCCTGATTGAAATCAAAACCATATGAGCCTACTTGCCAGGTGCAAACACGTATTCTCGTCATTATTGGCCTGTTATCGTCATTAGTTCTGCAATGAGAGAGCACCACAAATCCGCGTCTTCCACTAACACATATCACAAAAAAAGTGGGAACGTTAATTAAAATTCAAAGAGTCGTGGGAATCATTTCCATAAGAAAACCTAGATAAATTCATATAACTCCATTAAGTACTAATCTAATCTTTGAGTCTGTCTAGTTTCTCGGTATTTTTTTTTTCATCAGATAGTCTCGTTTATTACTTATATGAATTTTATTATTGCATATAAGTCCAGCCTGTGTTTTGTGATATTAGGAGCTGATTTTCAGCTTATATATCTTTTTTATTCGACGCGACTCAATGTTTTGAGTCTCGTAATAAAACGCTTAATTAAAACAAGGAAATAATTCGCCGGTGATAGGAACGCAAGCAAAAAATAAAGAAGAATCTAATTTAGGGGTGGAAGTTTTTCAGGATATGGATGTTATAACCCATGACTAGTGTCATCTTGCTTTATGTACGTCTTTACACGATTGCTTTTATTAATTAATGTCATTCAGTTTTCACTATTTAACACTCGTGAAACATCAGGGATTCCACAAGAAATCTTCGATCAAAATAAACATAATTATGTTTACCTGATGTTTTTGAAAATCTAAAACATCACGAATCTTCGCTTTGTCGATTTGGGATTAAAAGTCAAAAAACACTGCTTTAAAGAAGATAAGTCACAAAGTTCAAGATTACGTGGAATAGAACGGGATTATCATATTCAAGGCCACTCAAGAAACGGCTGGTATTAACGTTATATCCCTCGGAGCTTTTCATTTTGTAGGTCAGTACGGTGCTCGTTTTGTTAGTCTTCCCATAATACTTTGTTAGTCGCTATTTGTAGTTTGTATATCAGTGAAAATGTCGAATAAATAAAATACTTGTAATCCAAAGGAAAAGCGCTTCTAATATTTAACCAAAACAAACGTCTGAAATAATACAATAACATTATCTCTTATATTAGAATGGCGTATTTATATGCGTATGAAGGTGGCTGGGCAACCCCAATCGATTATCATATCCGTGAGGGGCCTGGTGACCAGTTGAAGCTGGCTCGTCCTTGCTTTGAGAGTTTTTCCCTCATCTCCCAATCTAAAACTACAGTTTGTTGTCTTCACAGTTTTGTGCTCAAGAGTAGATTTTACATTGTATAAATTAGAATTAATTAGCGATCAATTTTTATTGTCACTGTTACTTAAAGGCCCAGTGTGCACCATTATGCTTTGGGGCCCTCGGGTGGGCATTTTCAGTTTACCGAAAGTCTATAAATTGTACTGTGCGTTTCGAATCTTTTACCATCTCACTTTTCTAAGTGCACTTTAAACGATAATATTAGAGTTTTCAACCATCTTACTTCGTTTTAAGGTGATATTTAGATACTAGAAGTATTTTGGTGTAAGTCATAACAATAACAGGGGCTCGCAAAGCATATGGTGCAAATTGGGCCTTTACGAAGGATTTTTTACTAACTAATGTCTCAATAGATATTGTCAGCCAGTAACTTATCAGATATGGTCTTAACGTACTTCTAGATACCACTGAAGCAAACTTTAACTAACCCTTTTGCATATTAAGGGTCCTCTTTCATCGATGAGAACCTTCGCCATGATTTTTTTGTTTTGAAAATAAGCATTTTTGTTGAAAATTTCGATTGGTTCAAAATCTGTCCAGCAAGTACGCGTGATAATAATCTTTTTTTTTTAATTAACGAAAGTAAAAAAGCACAATGCTGAATTTAACGGATCACCCAGCAATTCTCCAAAATGGACATTTTCTGTATGTGAAAAATTCGGTCCTACGTTTATAACATTCAGGCACAAAATTATTTTTATAGCTTTTAAACTGTCTCAAACGATCGCAGTCAGGTCCAGCGGCATTGAAAATGATCAGGTAATTTAAATACAAACCCTCCTCGTTGTATTTGAACTTTAATTTACTCGTTACTTTGTTGTACTTTTTTATTGTTTTGGAAAGGTAGTTACAGTGTAGAGAGCACGATGTGGCACCCTTGCAAGACCGATGATATTAGTATGTGAAATTATCATAACTTACTGACGTTTCGGACATTAAGAGAGGCTGTCTGAAAATACCAACTATGGTTGGAAAAAATTGAAAAAATATAATTTTTGTTTTTTATTCCAGAATATTCCTTTATGGGTGCCGAATCTAGGAAAAATAGTAAAAAGTTGTATCTTTTATTTTTTTCGGAGATATTTGACATTTTGTGTCKTATGGCTCACTGGCGGCTTTTTCAAAGGCAAAAGTATACTTAGGGAAAAAATCGAAAAMATATTCCTTTTTGAATTAAATAAAAAATAAATATGCTCCACTTAAAGCCAGGACAATAAACAACACAACCAAAATAAATTAGTTGAAATCAATGCAAATCTGAATATTTTGTGAATTTTTGAGTTTGGGGTATTTTCTTGACGGTAAAAAATGCTTAAAATTAAGAGCAAAATTTTCCCTATTTCTACATGGACTAATGCTTCCAAAATATTGTCAGGTCGAAAAGTAATGTCTTGCCTTTGATAAAATGCAATAAAAAATTTGGGCTACTAAAACGGTCAAACAAGACAGCTCTCAACGCAACCTGTCTAGAGGTCAAATTTTAGCGGCAAGTTCACAGGGCCTCACATTATGCTTGAGGTAACGCCATAAATTATCAATAACTTTAAGGCATGCAAAAGACAAAAATGCTTCCGTAGATTGTTATTAGTGCTTTATAAATCAAAAAAAGATGAATTACAGATAAATTTGAGTCCGTTTAGCTTCAACTAAAGTCATACCTCGATGTAGCGATCTAGTTTGTCCTTGCCGAAGTCTATGCAAATCGGTAGATTTATAAGTCTATATCTTGTTGCCATGTCAAAGTTCTCCAGGTAGTTCTCCCTTGAAACTTTTTTTGTATTTAAAAGTGATCCTTAATCCAATGGTCACATTTGATTTGACAACAGAAATATAACAACAACCTTCTGTTTACAAGGCAACGATCGCGCTAAGTGGCGTGACAGCGTTACACACAGGAAGACCGGAATGTTTTATATGTTTATGTTTTTGCTTTTGTATTTTAACCTCTGTTGTTGTCCTTAAGCTTGTATTTTTCTTGATGATGTTGATTATATTTTTTGTACTTAGATGAATAGAATATTTTATTTATCATTATTATATTAATGGCAATTCCTTTAGAAAACACGTGCTTCCAAATCGCGCCATGTGTTCTAAAATTAGAATAATACTTCAGTTTTGGAATATGTGCCGCGTTGGTGATGGCGACTTGCGACTACTCTAGCTTTGTTGGTGGCCCTTGTGGTCCGAGTAAATATAACCCTTCCAATAGTAAATGCATGCCGATAAGCAATTGTAAAAAAGATATAAAAGGCCATTTGAAAACCTTTAAGACTTCAGATGCATTTCTTCCTACAGAAGTCGAACTTTTGCTAGCAAGAGCAGGTATGTTGCAACTTTATCGATGCATTAGCAATAATCATTACTGTTATATTCAGAGATCGTTGTCATAAAATCTTTGGTCAATCCTGATTCGAATTTTCTGCAAAATACCAGGTATTTTTGAACGAGATGATAGCATTCTTGATCTCAAACAGTCATCAATCTGTCCCCG